CCTTTCCAGGTCCACCATTCACCCACCAACAGACCCCACGCAAGATGGTGTATTATGGGCAGACCAGTTGTGAGCAGGACACGGAGAGGTACCTCGATGTGGTGAAGTACGTGTTCAGCTCCTACAAGAAGGAAGTGCCTTTAGTCATCAACACCATGGGCTGGGTGAAAGGTAACCAGGATAAATGTGCTCGCCAGAAGTGGTGCAGAGGAAGGTGATGGTCACAGTGCTACATTAGTGTGCTTTCTGTAGAGTGTGGAACCAGAAAGTACAGCTTCCCCCTTGGAGCTAGCGCTGCTCTTCCATGGCAGTGTTGTGACGTGTTTATGTGGCAGCAGCAATCGTGTTTTCTCTGCTCCCTAAAGGTGAGGGGTTGCTGCTTCTGATTGATCTCATCCGGCTGGTGTCACCCAGTCACATTGTGCAGATGGATGTGTACGACTGGAAGGCCATGGCTCCGCTCACCCCGGAGTACGTTCACCTCACTCCTGGCCTCTACACCAAGGGCAAGCAGCAGGCCAAGTGCAAGCAGCTGGCTGCGGATGGAGGGGAGAGCTGGAAGCCCTCGGAAGGGGAGGGAGATGCCTTGGCTCCCGAGTACAAGTTGCTCTACGTCCATCCGGAATTCCCTCGAGCAGGGGTTGCAGGTGAAGCGTAAGTAGAAAGTTTGGTGCTGGGTGGTGGTGGGCATTGGGCTGAAGAGAACCTGAAGGGCTTTGGTCCGTTAGGTTGGTCAGAGCTCACTGGTTTGCTCACTGGGGGTTATGTTTGGCGTTTCCACTTGGACTCATTGAATATGATGTCGTTTCCATTTCTAATTGGGAGGGTCCTTAGCCATTTTTTACAGACCTACGTGATGGTAGTTTTATTTTGTGATTTCTCTGATGCTTTGAACAGCTCTGAAATGTTTCTTTTCCCGAGCCTTGGGTCTCTGTTGCCAGTTTCAAGGGCCTTTTTTGACTCTGCCTTCTCTAATGAGCTGTTTGAACAAAGGCATTACTGGGTGCCCAGCTGACTGAGTAAAAGGTGTGTGGGCATCAGTGCTGGCGAAGGAAGCCATTACCTAATAACAGACTTTGTTTAAAGGAAAACAAACCACCTCCTCTGCTAATTAATGCCTCCTTAAAGCTGAAACAATGCCTTAAACCCTGTGATTTCGTAGAGGTAATGAAAGCGTAGCTCTGTGTTTGCTTCAGCAGTAGAAGCTTTAGGAGCTGCACTGTGTGAAACAGCAGCCAGCAGTGCATGGCTGCCTGGGGGATGCAGTGGGAACTGTGGTGTGAAGCTGCCTTGCCTTGACGTGCTGTGGTGCTTCTCCAGGCGAGTGCACAGCGGCATCCTGCGGGACATGTCCATGCTGGGCTACCTGGGCCAGCTGCAGGCCCCGGACATCGGTGCCGTGCTTCCGCTGCACAGCCTTGTGCCATATCAGGTACCCGGGTGGCTTTGAAGGGCTCGGGGGTGGTGTGTGGGGTACCTGGCAGCTCCCAGGGTTTGTGTGCTTGCCACCGTCTTATCTCAGAACTGAGTTAAATTGGTGCTGAGACATTGAGACGATGACTGGGTTTTCCTTCTTCTTTTTAACCCACTCAGGTACCTTTCAGTGCTGTTGCCCTCAGGGTTATTCACACCGACGTTGCTCCTACCAACATCATGTATGCTGTGAACGCCAGCTGGGTCGGGCTCTGCAGGATACCAGATGAGATCAGATGCCAAACTGATGGGCCAGTGCTGCTGACACAGACACCAGTCTGTGACTGCCTTGGCTTCGGTGAGCCAGCATGGGAAACCCTGGGCTGGGTGCGTGCCTGTTGTGGTGGTGTGAGTTAGAGCCAGCCAGGAGCTCAGCAACACACAGGTGGGATGGGGAGGAGTGAGAAGATGTAAAAGCCACGGGTTGAGATAAGAACAGTAACTAAAGTAGGATATAATACTACTAATAATGATCATGATAAGGGAAATGAGAGAGTGTAAAATTAAAAGAGAAAAGGAAAACCAGTAAACACAAGTGATGCACAATACAGTTGCTCAGCACCTGCTGAGTGATACCCAGCCCGACCCAAGCAGTGATCACTCCCTTCTGTGTGACTCCCAAACGTTCTTTATCAGGGTAAGTGCTACTGAGCAACAACTGCACCAGCAGTGTGTTCTCAGCTAAAACCAAAGCAGAGCGCTGCACCAGCTACTGGGAAGAAAATTAAGCCAAAACTGGGGCATGTTTTGACAGCTCGGTTGGGGTGATGGAGCTGCCTGTGTTTTCACAAGCAACTGAACGAGAGGGATGAGGTAAGAGAATAATGCATGGGTTCTCCTCAGGAATTGTCCGAGGGGTGGACATGGAGAAGAAGCTGTACCACATCCTGACGCCGGTGCCTCCGGAGAGCCTGAGACTAGTGAATTGTCTGCTCGTTGGCAGTATTGCTGTTCCCAGCTGCGTTCTTGTGGGCCAGGTAGGGGCTGCATGGGAAGAGGGAGAAGTGGCTGAGCGCTGGCTGGCAGGTTTCCTGACATGTCTGGGCATCAGCAGATGGTTATCTCTATAGGAAACTGTCCTTAAGGCATAGAAACGAGGGAGAGGAGAGCGTTCCTCTCGTGTTTCAGATACCAGAGCAGGGTTTATTTGGTGACAGCTTGTTGCTTTCACACCAGCCAGCTCTGTCAGTCTATACAGAGGACGGTGTGTCCCATTCCAGAACGAGAATGTTAAGATACGAGGATCCTGTTAAAGATTTGAGTTCTTAAATTGTTTCTGGTGTTGTTTTCCCCTCTTCCCAGCAAGGAGTCGAGGGAGAGATCCCCTATGTCACATCTGATTATAACTACAGCATCCTAGGCTCTGGAAAGCTGAAAAAGAAGAAGCATTTCAAGAGGAGGGAGTATGCGTTCGAGTGTGATTATGCCTAGAGCCTCCTGTGCTCGGACTGCGGGATTCATTCTGCGCTGTGTGGAGCCCGGAGCAGTCACAGAAGTGCTGGGTGCCACCGAGCTCCGGCTGTGGATGCACAGCACGTCTGGTTTTGATAATGTTTTATATTTTCCATTTGTACTTTGGTGTTTTGTAATAAATATCTATTTAAACATGGGTCTGGTTTGAATTGCTGCTGCAGCCTGTGCCGGCTAAGGGGCCGTAGTGACTGTCGGAAGCGCTGCAGGTCTCCGGCTGCAGCCCAGCCTCGTTCAGCTCTGGTGTCAGGAGCAATCCATGGGGCCAGGAGTGTAACCCCAGGCTGTGTGTGTGGTTTGGGCAGAGCTTGTGCTCATGCTCATCCTGTCCCTGCAGCACCGCTGGGTGTTTGGGAAAGAAGGAGGGAATGGGAAAACCCTCTCTCCTTGAGTGGAGCCGCTGGAGGGAGTCAGACGCTGTGGCCCTGGCCCTGCTTTATTCTGCCTCACACCAGCCCCGGCTGCAAGCCCTGCTGCTGCAGTTGCAGCTCAGGCCCTCCAGCACAGGTCTGGGGAGAGCTTGGGCTCTGGCTCTGATGTGTTCCCCAGCTCTGCCCAAATGGGTTGTGCCTATGGGCAGAGGCTGAAAGGAGCAAGAGGAGCTGGTTTCCCCTGGGGTGTTTGGTCTCGCCTGACTCTTGACCCGTGCTGTGCCCCACTGAAACTCTCTTGAGTTTCATTTGGGCATTTTACTCTTCATTTTACCCTTTTCCAGTGCTCTGTTGGGCAGTGATGTGCTCCTGAGCGACCTGAGGCCGGTGGCAGCCTCCCCTGTGCAGGAAGAAGGGATGCACTGTGCTTGTGCTGAGTATTTGCTGCTACCGGCTGCTACTGGTGTGAGTGATCCCAAAAATGCCTTTATCTGGGTTTTGAGGACATTCCATAGCGCTCCTGGTACCGGTAAATGGACAAATGAAGGGGGTGACCAGCGGGGAGAGGGCAGAGCTGCCTGGGCTCTGCACTGTTGCTGCCTTTCAAAGAGTTAAAGCTTTAACTTAATCTAGGCCTAATTATCCCCATCTGGCTGGGTCTGGCGGTGAAGGAAGGACTTGGCTGGCAACCTGACCAGTGCCTAAAACAAATACAGGGGCCGCTGTGCAGGAAGATCCCCGGCGAGGCGGGAGCTGGAGTCGCGGGTGGAAAAGGCACCAGGAGAGGTGAGGTGGGTGGGAGGTGACGGGGAAATGCTCAGTGCCAAAACCCTCCTGGGCTGAGTATCCCCCAGCACCCTCCTATGAGGGTGATGGACCCTGCACTGCCTGGACTGGGGTCCCCCCTTGGAGCCGGGGGGCAATTGAGGAACCCCCCTGTGCTTGTGCCAAGCCTCCAGGGTCCAGTTCTGGACCTTTCCAGGGAAGGAAACACACTGGTGGCTCCCATATGCAGGCACAGGGGACCAGGCTGGCTGCTGGCCCTCACAATGGCTCTGCCCTGAGGGGGAGAGGGCCAACGGGATGGGCTGTCCGGGGGCTTTGGAACTGCAGCATCCTGCTTAGTGTCTGGCTACGTTACCTGTCAAAGGGCACTTAGAGCATCCAAGAAGCCGCTGTCAGTGCTGACGACTTGGGGCTGGGATGGTTGCATCCTGGCTGATGGTTTCGGTTTTCCATGTTTAGGGAGTTCTGCGTGGGGCAGGACAACGGTTGGGCCTTTGTGGGGTTTTTGAGCCCATTCCGGTGCTTTCAGGTTTGCTTGGCTTCAGCAGAGGGGACCATGTCCCGTGCCCACGGCTGCGGGGGTGCATCCAGGCCTCAGGGCGGCACATTCCTGCCCCCCCCCAAAAGCCGTCGGGCGGCGGAGCCGCTGCACAGCCCCCTCTTGGTGCATATTCTTCTCCTCACAAGCACGTCTTGTCCCCGTGCCCGATGCCTTTCATAGACGGCGGAAAGTGAAATTTGTGCAATGTCTGTAGGAGGCTGAAGAAAGGCTCTTTGTGTGCCCCCCGCGCGGGCGCTGGGCAGCCTCCAGCAGCACCCTCCGCCGCCCCGCGCCTCCCGGCCGCCGGCCTCAATGCGGCGCTTGTCCGGACACCGGGACCCGCTCTTAAAGCCGGAGCCGGGCTCCCCCCGTTAGTGGCACCGGTGGCCCCGGCGGGGCGGGCGCGGCTCCGGGGGGTTCCCCCGGCTGCCAGCCCGGGATGTTTCTGTACTGGAAGAAGCGCGGTGCCTACGAGCTGGAGGCTTTGCCCCCCGGGCTGGCGGGGCTGGAGTATGGGGCAGTGGAGCGCTTCTCCTGGAGCTCCAGCCTGGACATCAGCGAGGAGCTCGGGGGTAGGTGTCTGGGGACCCATGGGCGTGCGGGCAGCAGTGCTTGGCCTAAATCCTCCTGACATCAATGTGAGGCGCCAGGAGAAGTTGTAGCTGGAGCAGGAATGTGGTGGGGTTGCTGTAGGGAATGCTGTGAGGATGATGTGGTGGGGTTGCTGTAGGGAATGCTGTGAGGATGATGCAGTGGGGTTGCTGTAAGGATGATGCAGTGGGGTTCCTGGAGGGAATGCTGTTGAGGATGATGCAGTGGGGTTCCTGTAGGGAATGCTGTGAGGATGATGCAGTGGGGTTCCTGGAGGGAATGCTGTGAGGGTGATGCAGTGGGGTTCCTGGAGGGAATGCTGTGACGATGCTGCAGTGGGGTTGCTGTAGGGAATGCTGTGAGGATGATGCAGTGGGGTTGCTGTAGGGAATGCTGTAAGGATGATGCAGTGGGGTTCCTGGAGGGAATGCTGTGAGGATGATGCAGTGGGGTTCCTGTAGGGAATGCTGTGAGGATGATGCAGTGGGGTTCCTGGAGGGAATGCTGTGAGGATGATGCAGTGGGGTTCCTGTAGGGAATGCTGTGACGATGATGCAGTGGGGTTCCTGGAGGGAATGCTGTGATGATGCTGCAGGTGCAGCAGGGAGTGCTCAGCACACCACCTCGAACCACTGGCATTGCTTCCTCCCAACCGAGAGAGGCACCTGAAACAGTGAGTTGGTGCAGGAATGGTTCAGTTCCAAACTCATTTACCGTCACCAGAAGAGCCGAGTGCGATAACAGAGCTGGCAGGAGGAGAAGTAGGAGGAGGTGGCTGTCTCATAGAGGAGGTGATGGGGGAAGGATCCCTCCTCCAGCCCAGGTGCCTCGTGGGGACCCAGATCCCCTCCTGCTCCAGCCCACCGGGGAAGAGCCCCTCGGCTGCGGCGGGGGGCTGTCCCCTGGCACTGCCGCCAGCTCTGCCTGGCCTCGGTTTTCTGGTGCGTCGGGAAAACTTCCCCTCGGGTGCACGGAGGAATTCGTTTTATCCCGTTATTATTCCCGATAGGTCAAGTGAAACGATGGCGGGGGCCGGCCCAGCCCGGCGGCGCTGCGGGGCGGCCGCGGCCACAGAGCCCTCATTGTGCTCCCGCCGCGGGGGCAGCCGCAGCGGCTCCCCCTGCCCGATGCTCCTGCTCCCTCATCCCGCAGTGCCTGCGCTGCACCGCATCCTGGCCGGGAGCTGGGGCTGCTGGCCCCGGTCCGGGTTGCGAACCCCGCTGCGGGCAGGAGCAGCGCTGCCCCAAAGGTGGTATTCCCGCAGGCTGCGTCCAGCCCCAGCCTTGGCCACGGTCCCGCTTGTACCGGCGTGGATGCTGTTTTTGTTGGCAGAAGGGATGCGGGAGAGGGGAGCAGCGCTTTGGGGGAAGCCCCTGTGCTGGCCATGCAGCCCGGCCCCTGTATTGGCTCCCATCGGATCTTCGCGGGGCTGTTCTTGCTCTTCCCTCGCTGCGGGCGCCCTGGAGTCTGTTATTTTTAAACGATTAGGCGCGACACATAGCAAAAGCCTTCAAAATAGGATTTGTCCCTAAGGCCGATTTAACTGTCAAAGCTTAAAGTCGCTCCTAAGCCCCCTTGGGGGCTGGCAAGTGGCTGATTTAGTGTTGCTGCTGCAGCCCCGTTGTGTGCCATCCCCAGGGGAACTGGGGCAGGTCCGAGTCCTGATCCTGTGACTCGGGGTGCCGGGCAGGGGGTGTCAGGTCCTGATGCCACGGGATGCACGGTGCGGGGATGCAGCGCTGGCTCTTTCTTGGGCAGGGGTTTCCTCCCTTTCAGCCTTGTTTAAACCCGTGTGCTTTGCTTTACACGGGCAGGGTCGGGAGTGGGGCTGCAGGGGCTCACCCTGGCACTGACCCCTGCTCTCTCCCGCAGCCGAGCCGTGCCCACCGGAGGAACCAGTGCTGCGCTGCCAGAACCCCGACTGCTCCGGCGACAGGAGGGCGGCCAAGGTGGGTGCCGGGGGCTGCTGGGTAGCACCGAGAAGTGCCGGACGGTGTTGGTCTGAATGGATGCAGAGGGGCAGCGGGTGGCTGTGCCCAACCCAAAGCCCCCTGGCATGGCCATTGTGCCCCCCAGCCTGTTTTCTGTAGCTGGTGTGATTGGGGCTAATCTGCTCCAGCCCGTCTGTTCCACCATTCGCTAACGTGATGCCAGAGCGGATTTAGGGTCCCTTCTCTCCCCGCTGGGCTGGCTGGATGCAGGGCCAGGCTGGATCCGCTCTCCGGCTCCCGCTGAGTCCCAGTGTTCCTGTGCCGCGGGCGGTGTCTTTCTGGCACAGCAGCAGCCCAGCTGCGCTGGAGGTGTGCCGCGGCACTTTGTTTGCACGGCTGGGGTGGCAGAGCCGGTGCCGGTGGGGCACACGTGGCACGGGGCTGTGGCTGCCATGGGGCACACCAGGACCACCCCAACACTGATACCAGATGGTGACGAGCAGGTAGTGTGGGGTGAGGGGGCCTGGCTGGGGTGGGGGCTTGTCCTGCATCGCATCCCCTTCACTACGGGGCAGCTGCTGAAGGTGCTGGGGGTGCCCACCAAGCAAGTGGTCGCTGCCTGGAGCCCATGGCCATGCTCTCCGTTTTGCAGGTGCCACAGCGGCCACGATGGGGATCGCCTGGGGCACATGGGGGGAGAGAAGCATTGCTGGGGCCAGGAGTATGGGGCATCTTGGGCAGGGCTGATGGGGGGGGAGCTGCCCTGTGCCCCATGGTAGGACGGTACTGGGTGTTGGTGGTGCTGGGTGCACTGGAGGGGCTGGTGGCCCCTCGGGGAGCGCTTCAGCTCTGACCTCAGCAGGCCCGAGGAAGGGGGGCAGGAAGCGGGGGTGGCTGCAGCTCCCGGCGCTTCCTCCCCGCAGCAGCGCAGCGCTGCAGGCGAGCCGGGGCAGGGCCGGCTCCTCCCCGCAGCCCCGCGCACCCTGAGCAGCGACGGGGGTCCCCCGGTGACACCGCAACACGCGGCCGGTGCTGCAGAGGCCACTGGCACCGCAGGGACTGGAGCTGGGCTCTGGAGCCCCCGTTGGGGCGGGCGCTGTGCGGGGGTCACGGGCCCTGCGCGGCGCTGGGGGCCCTGCCGGGGGGTTAAAAATAACCCGCGGTGAATGCCCGGCGGGGCCGGGGCCGCGGCCGTGGCCAGCACACAATGGGAGGAAACGCGCCGGGCTCGAGCATTGTTCTGCGGCAGACACCCGCTTCCTCCGTCCTGCCGCAGGGACGCGGCTCCCGTCAGCGCCGAGGGGCGGCTGCGGGCGCCGGGAGGTGCGGGAGGCACAGGCGCAGGTGCCTGTCCCCCGGCTGTCACCTCCGTGCTTGGGCACGGGCCACCTTCCCCAGCGCCCTGCTCCATGCGGTGGAGCAGGGAGGGCGCTGCACGGTGCAGAGCCTCTCGTATCCTATTCACTCTGGCCTCGGTGTTGCCCCTGAGCCAGCGCCAGTTGGGATGGGAAGGGGGTCCCCGCTGCTCACGGTGTGCCCGCAGGTGTGTCACCATGCGGAGTGCCGGCGGCTGAGCTGCAGCGGCCCCCTCAGCCTGTGTGAGCTCTGTGACAGCCGCCTGCATGGCGCCATGCACTGCGATGGGCACATCCGCTTTGACCTGCCCCCGCCAGGTGAGCTGGGTACCGGCTCCACATCCCAGCGGGATGCGCTTGGGGCCGGCGCGGTGCAGGGATCCGAGTGGGAAGCAGCCGGGGCCAGCGCAGGGCTGCGGTGCTGGCACAGCCCATCCCAATGCCCCTTTGCAGGCTCCATCCTGGCCCGCAACATGTCAACGCGCTCATGCCCGACACGCACCAGCCCTGCCTCTGATGTGGAGGAGGAGGAGGAGGGACAGGCCGATAGCAGAGGGTGAGCCCCCGGCCCTGCGTGTCCCCTCCGTGTCCCCAACCCACGCTGTCCCTGTCGCTCTGAATGCCCTGTGCCCACAGAGAGCGGAGGAGCTCGGCGCTGAAGCTGCCCAAGAAGAAGGCTCGGCGCCGGCACACGGACGTAAAGCACCGGCCCCTCTCCCTGGGGTGCTCAGCGGGCAGAGGGGCCGCATGGGTGAGTGATGCTGCCTCCCCTAGGACCCCAGCAAGGAGTGCTTCACCCTCAAGTTTGACCTCAGCATCAACGTTGAGGCAGAGATCGTGCCGGCAGCAAAGAAGAAATCCCTGGGGTGAGCGCCTTGGGGATGGGGATGCAGGGAGCGGCGCGGGGATAGATGGAGACGGGGCTCATGTCCCTGCAGGGAGGTGCTGCTGCCGGTCTTGGAGAGGAAGGCGATCGAGCCGGGCAGGGTGGACGTGTACCTGGAGCAGTCGCAGACACCGCTCTCGCTCCAGTTCGAGGCGTTCCGCTTCGGGGGGCACTACCTGCGTGTGAGAGGTGCGCCGGGGCCCGGCGGGGGGGCTCGGCTGTGCCGCGGGGCTCTGAGCACCCCCTGCTCCCGCAGCCAAGCCCGGGGATGAGCTGAAGGTGGAGCAGGCAGTGCAGGAAGCCAGGTTGGCGGCTCTGCCCATCGTGCACCCTGCCAGCACGGCGCCAGGACAACGGGAGGGCGCTGACAGCCTGGTGAGTGCTGGTGACAGCCACGGAGGGGAGGACCTGGGGAGGGGTGGCAGAGCGTGTGATCCCCATGTAGCCATCCTTGCTGGGAAGATAGGATACATGGGATTACATAGGGATGGTGTCTCCTGCATAGCCTCTATGCGGTGTCACCGAAGACCTCCCTGAAGCTCCCAGGAGCCAGTTTGGCTCCTGGCTGTGCCATGGTGGCTGTGCATGGGCAGTGCTCTGTGCTAGGTGTGGCAGATCAGCCAGCAGCACCAGCCCTGTGGCTGTGCCATGTACAGGCTGGCACTGGAGCAAACAGGAGCCCCTTGGCGATGGCAGCCACTTCCTGCCGCCCTGGTTCCAAGGCTCACCCTGGCTGCTGGTCCTGCTCTCATTATGGCCCCTGGCAGCTGCTGAGCACAGCTCGGTCCTGCCCCATGGACCCTGGCCCCAGATAAGGCGTGGGGCAGGGCTGGCTGCCACTCCCCGTGGGAACAGGCTGCAGTGGGGACACGGTGCTCGGCCCCTCACCGGCAGCCCCAGAGCGTGGCACAGTGGCCGTGTGGCCAGGGCTGGTGGCCTCCCGTGTCCAGCACTACAATGCCTGGCTGCTGGACCAGCACGGACCCAGTGGGGCGAGGCGGCCAGCGGGCAACCAACCGCTGGTGCAGGGCTCTCAGCCTCCCTGGGGGCATCCAGGAGCTGAGCCACACGGGGGCCATGGAGCAGGAGGCAGCCAGGGCTTCTGGGGACACGGCAGCAGGGTGAGTGACAGGGATGGGGCCATGCTGGACGTGGCAGGGCGTGGGTGGCAGCGGCAGCAGCATGGCCATGACCTTGGCTTGGCGGCAGGGGGGAGCCCCACTTTGCTGCCCTTTGTGCCGCGGTGGTGGCATCCCGGGGGCAGAGGAGGAGGAGGCCGGTGCAGCGGTGCCCGGGGCGGCAGGAGCCGCTTGGCCGTGACCCAGCTCCCGCGGCCAGCCGGGGCTTTGATGTCGGCCGGTGAATTGTTTGGCTCTGGTTAGCTTATCTGCCGAGGAGGGAAATTGGTTTTTCGGCACTGGCCCCACCTCCTTTTGTTTCGGAGGAGCCTGCCCGGGTCCGGCTCCACCGTCCGGGCTGGGAGCGGGGCTGGGCGGCTCGGAGGGGCTCCTACATCCCGTGGGATGCCCTGAGCCCCTGCGCCGCTTGCCCGTGACCAGCTGGGCTCCGCCGGGCAGCACCCGGGGCCCTGCGCCCCCGGGATGCAGGTAGGCAGGTCAGTGCGGGCAGGGGACCGTGGCCGGGGGGTGCCCTCTGGGTGCCTGCCCGCCCCATGGGTGCTCACGGTCAGCCCTGCTTGAGGCATCGCGCTGGGCACGGTGCCGGGCGCTGACCACGGGGACACCGGCTGTGTCCCCACTGCAGGCTCCGGGCCGGCGGAGGAAGAACATGACGGAGTTCCTGGGGGACAGCAGCATCCCCAGCCCCGAGCCGTCCCCGCATGCCAGTGGCTCCCTGCCCACCAATGGCACTGATACCTGGAAGAACCGCGCCGCCAGCCGCTTCAGCGGCTTCTTCGGCTCCGGCACCAGCGCCGGCTCCTTCGGGCGGGTAGGTGGGACGTGGGCATGGGGAGGGAGCACTGGGATGGGTCCCTCCGGCGGGGCTGCAGCTCCGCGAGGCAGGGTGAGGGGTCCGTGGCACACGGGCACTGGTTGCTGTGCCCCCTGCTCTTGGCCAGGAGAGTGAGAAGCTGGAGCAGCTGGCGAGCCGGCTGCACGCCTACGGCACCTTCGGGCTGCCCAAGCTGCCGCCGCAGCTCCGCTTCGACCGCGACTCCTGGGAGGAGGACGGGGACGAGGCCGGGCTGGCGCTGGAGGACAGTTGGCAGCAGATCATCCATGGCGCAGAGGTAGGGCCGGGGGGCACCGGGGGCCGCGGCGGCACTGCCCCACCACCGACATGGCGCTGACGCTCAGCCCCACAGGCCCTGTCGCGCCGGCAGTGCCACCAGCAGGAAGCCATCTGGGAGCTGCTGCACACCGAGGCCACCTACATCCGCAAGCTCAAAGTCATCACCGATGTGAGTGATGGTGATGGCTGTGCCGTGGCGGGGGGCCGGGGCTGTGGCTGTACCCCACCGGCTCCCTCTCTGTCCCTGCAGCTCTTCCTTTGCTGCCTGCTGAACCTGCAGGAGTCAGGGCTGCTCTGTGAGGTGAGCGATGGGGCTGCAGGGATGGGGACGCCCAGGTCGGGGCTGGGACCATGGTTGGCCGCGGCAGGGTGAAGTGCCACCCCCATGCAGCCGTGGCCTCACTGCAGGTGGACGCCGAGCGGCTCTTCAGCAACATCGGGGAGATCATCCGGCTGCACCGGGAGCTGTGGCGCGGAGTCATGGCCCCGGTGCTGGCCAAGGCGCGCAGGACCGGGGCGCTGCTTGACCCTGTTGACTTCCTCGACGGCTTCAAGACGGTGAGTGGGGGGACACCGTGCAGCGGTGGGGCTGTGCCATGCTGTGCCCTGCGGTGACCCCGTTGTGCCCTCCCAGTTCGGGTCCCTCTTCAAGCCCTATGTGCGGTACTGCATGGAGGAGGAGGGCTGCATGGAGTACATGCGAACACTGCTGCGGGATAGCGAGCTCTTCCGAGCCTATGTGACGGTAAGGGGAGCGGGCAGGGGCCGGTGTGGGGTACCGGTGTGGGGTACTGGTGTGGGTCTGACTCCTGCGTGCCACAGTGGGCCGAGAAGCACGAGCAGTGCAGCCGCCTGAAGCTGAGCGACATGCTGGTGAAACCCCACCAGCGCCTCACCAAGTACCCGCTGCTCCTCAAGTCCGTGCTCAAGAAGACGGATGACCCACGTGCCCGCGATGCCATCACCGCCATGGTAAGGGGAAGTGGACACGGGGTGCTGTGGGGTGTGCTGTGGGGTGTCCCTCCCCTTTGAACCTACCACCACCTGGGCACAGATTGGCTCTGTGGAGCGCTTCATCAACGACGTCAACTCGCGGATGCGCCAGCGGCAGGAGCGGCAGCGCCTGGCCGCCATCCTCAGCCGCATTGATGCCTATGAGGTGGTGGAGGGCAGCACGGATGAGGTGGACAAGGTAGGTTGGGCACGGCAGAGCTACCACACCATAACATGTCACCCGGTATCTTGTAACCCCCTGCCACCTCACGCCACCCTATGCCATACCATGCTGGGCCACCCTATGGCATGCTCTGTCATGCCACCCTGTGCCATGCCACGCTACCCCATGCCACCACTGACACCGGGGATCCCGGCAGCTGCTGAAGGAGTTCCTGCGGCTGGACCTGACGGCCCCCATCCCCGGCACGTCCCCGGAGGACACGCGGCAGCTCCTGCTGGAGGGCAGCCTGAGGATGCGGGAAGGTAAAGACAGCAAGGTGAGGACAAAGGGGACGGGGAGCCCCGGCTCCTGCCCGCTCGCCCCGGCCGGCACCCACAGCCCAATTCTCCCCTCCCCAGATGGACGTCTACTGCTTCCTCTTCACCGACCTCTTCCTCATCACCAAGCCCCTCAAGAAGGCTGAGCGCACCAAGGTGGTCCGGCAGCCCTTGCTGGTGGACAAGGTCGTGTGCCGCGAGCTCAGGGACCCGGGTGAGCAGCACCGGGGGTGATGGGGGCAGCAAGGGGGGGAGTCCCTGAGCACTGCTGATGTCCCTTGCCCACAGGCTCCTTCCTCCTCATCTACCTGAACGAGCTGGGGAGCGCCGTGGCTGCCTACACGTTCCAGGCCAGCGGGCAGTCGCTGTGCCGCAGCTGGGTCGAGGCGGTGCGCAACGCCCAGGTGAGGGGCGCAGAGGGCGGGCGGGGGTCCTGCGGCTGCCCCGAGCCTCCCTTGATGCCTCCTTGTCCCCAGAACCTGCTGCAGCGGCTGCGGCAGCGCCGGCGCCTGGAGGAGCAGGAGGAGGAGGATGGGGACAGCGACGCCTCGGCTGCCAGCTCCCCAACCATCCTGCGCCGCGGCAGCGCCAGCCCCGACTCGCAACGCTGGTAGGAGCCAGGAGGAGGACCCCGCTACCCCCAGCCCAGCACAGCCCCCTCCTCACCACCCTCTCCCTTACAGCCCATCCGACGGCTCCACCGAGACCCTCGCCGTGGTGGCCACGGACAGCGGTGACGCGCTCTCCTCCCCAGAATGGGACACGGGGCCCTTCAGCTCAGCCTCGGACGGCTCCTCCATCGGCACCAGCACCTCCGTCAGCGCCGGGACCCCCACCTCCTCCGAGACCCCCCCCCGGGAGCTGCCTGCGGGTGCCCTGCCTGTCCCCCTGCCCCATGGCACAGCCTCCCCGGCCAGCGGCTGCCGCTCATCCTCCATCGACAGCGCCTACGGCACGCTCTCACCCACCTCCCTGCGGGACTTTAGCCAGCAGCCCGAGGAGGGGCGCGAGCCACACGCTGCCCCCCCAGCCCCACGGCCCCCCTCACCCCGGCTGCGCCGCCAGACCCCGGTGCAGCTCCTGCCCTGCCCCACCAGGGTGCTCAAGTCCAAGTCAGAGGCCAACCTGCCCCAGCTCCTATGCCCCGGCCCCCCGGCCCCCCTCACCCAGAGCCGCAGCCTCTCTGACCTGTGCCCTGGGCCCCCCCGGACTACCCCGCACCAAGCCCCCGGCCCCCCGCCTGCCCCCGGCAGCAGCGGCAGCTCCACCTCAGAGCTCTCAGAGCCGGAGGAGCCGGCGGAGCGCCCGGCGTCCCTTCCGAGGGAGCTCGGTCACAACCCCCTGCCCGCTGCCCGCCGGACCCTCTCGGACCCGCAGTCAGCACAGCACCGCAAGCTGACACTGGCGCAGCTCTACCGCATCCGGACCACGCTGCTGCTCAACTCCACGCTGACCGCCTCGTACGTGGCTGCTGGAGGATGCTCGGTCGCTCCCTGGTGCCGGGGTCCCGGCACTGAGGGCATCTCTCCCTGTCTTGCAGGGAGGTCTGAGAGCCGCTGGAGCGGTGGGGATGGATGTACGGCTGCGCCAAGGAGCTGCTCCTGCTTCCAACCGGAGCATAACGCTGAGGCCGGGCGGTGGGAGGTCACGCCAGTGGGGACATGGATGGGGATGCAGATCAGTCCCCTCAGCGAGGACATAGCCTGGGCACGGTGGCACAGGGCTGCCTGCACCTCCTGGGGGCAGGGACATGGCTCATGCCAAAGCCTCATCTGCAGGGATGAGGGTTGTTGGTTGGGGCCCAGCTGCCCCATGGTGCATCAGACTTGGGGGGGGTGAGGAGAGGGTGGTCACGTTGGTGGTGGTGAGTGGGGAAGGTGCTGAGAGGGCTGTGGCGCCGGGGACACGGTGCTGAGGGCGCGCATGGAGGAGGCTGGGGCAGGAGGGGATGGCGGTGGACTGGGGCGAGGTTTGCCCTATGGGGTTGGGATGATGGCAGCGGGTGGCAGCGCCTGGGACCGGAGCGCGGGAGCCACGGCAGTGGCCGGAGCACCGGCTGCTGTCTCGTGCCGTGCTCCGTGTCCCGGCCAAGCAATAAACCCAGCTGGTGCACGCTCGCTCCGCCTCGCCTCTCCCTTGGCCCTGGTGGCACCATGCGACCGTGCAGCACCATGGTGGGTACACGGCACAGCTCCAGCCTCATGGTGGGGATGGAGCCCTGTGGCGGGGGTCAGCACTGCTGCCCTGGCCCCCCCCCCGGCCACACTGAGTCTGTGCCAGCAGGGAGGGAGGCGGCGGCCTGTGCCGGGGCGGGCAGGTCCCTCCCACCCCCGGCGCTCCCGTCGGGTGGTTTGCACCCCTTGGACGTGTTTCCAAAAAAGCATTTCCTCCTGCGCGGCCGCGGTAAAAGCCTGCGTGGGGAGGGCTGGTGCTCACTCACTGCGCGCTGCTGGCGGCGGCCATGGGGTGCTGGGGCCCCCTGCCTGGGTGCTGAGCTGCCCCGACACCCCGCTGCACCCCTGCACCGCGCTCACTGCCAGGCATGACCCAACCGCGTCACCTGCAAGGATGAAGCGCTGCTGCCCGGGCGCAGGCTGGGTGAGTGCGGCCGTGCCCGGCCCATGGCACTGGTTGGGGTGATGTAGAGCAGGGTGGGTACCGGATGAGCACAGTGCTGAGCGTGCCAAGTGCTTGCTGCACTGCCTGGCACTGGGGTCTGCCATGCCCGTGGGAGCTGTGGCTTTGGACACAGGGCTGCAGAGAGGGCACAGCCATAGGGGCTGCCTGTGCCGACAGCCAGGGCTGGTGCTGGCACACACGCACCAGGAGCGGGGGCTGCACCAGGGCTGCACTATGGGCAGGGATGGTGTTTGCGCGGCACAGGATGGGGTGGTGGCTCCTGTGCCTGCAGTGGCTCCTGCCTCCGGGCACCCGCTCCCGTGCTTGGGAATGCGGCAGCACCTGCGCGCGGCAGGGCACCCAGGGGAACGTCGGAGCTCCGGTGGTGACTCAGAGGTGCCGATGGCAGCCGGGGCCATGGCAGCCGCCTCGACGTGCTGGCAGCACCGCAGCGTGCACGGGTTTCAGTCTGCCCGTGGGTTTAATGGAAAATGATTCAGCTGCCGCAATCGGGGCCGTCGGCGCTGGGAAATCCTGCCCCCGGCAAAGAATCCCCTGGCCCCGGGCACACCCCTCACCCCAGCGCTGGGGGTGCTGGCACTGGCACCCCTTCATCACCCTCACTGTGGCTCCCCTGGATGCAGCAACCGGTGCCCTGGGGCAGGGGAGTGTGAAGCTGAAAAGGGGTGGGAGGATGAAAAGGGTGAGGCGCTGGCACAGGGTGCCCAGAGAAGCTGTGGCTGCCCCATCCCTGGCAGTGTTCAAGGCCAGGTTGGACACAGGGGCTTGGAGCAAGCTGCTCTAGTGGAAGGGGTCCCTGCCCGTGGCAGGGGTTGGGACTGGGTGAGCTTTAAGGTCCCTTTCAACACAAACCCGTCTCTGGCGGCTGGCAGCTTGGCCAGAGGAATGTCACCCACCTCCCAGGCACCATTTGGGCATGAAAAACAGTTAAACACATGACAGGAGCAGCTCTTCTCCAACTCTGTTGAGAAAGTGGCCTCTGCCTGGGGCAGCTCAGCCCTGGTTTTCTGCCCATCTTCCTTTTGCTTGACGTCTCCCACCACCAAAGCTCACCAGAGAATGAACGGAGGCGATGGGGAACGAGCCAGATATTTACTGTAACCCAGCAGCCCTCCCGCCCCTCTGCTGTTCGTACTGGGATGATTCAGCTGCCGCAATCGGTGCCATCGGCGCTGGGAAATCCAGCCCCCGGCGAGGAATTCCCTGGCCCCAGCACTGGGGGTGCTGGCGCGGACACCCCCTGGCCCCCAGCCGGGGCTCCCCTGCCTGCAGCGCCGGTGCCCCCGGAGCGGGGGAGCCGTGACCTACTTTGAACGCGCGTACGAGGCGCGATAGCATCGGGGTGAGCGTGAGCCGGGCACGGCTTCCTCCAGGGGAGGAAATCGCCTCCTCTGCGGGGAGATAAACCCCAGGAACGTCAGCGTTAACCCCCGTGCTGAGCATCCGGCCCCCAGCACCCGGGGGCACCCGGCGGCAGCCTCCATGCACAGGGGTGGTGCGATATACCCTGCAGTGAGCGTGCCCCGCGGGGGCAGCAGGAAGCGGGGGGGAAAGCTCAGCGCAGGGGATGCTGCGGGGCATTCCCGGCCCCACACCCGCACTGCTCCGGGGCACGGGGCTGCAGCCGTCCCGCCCGGCACAGAGCAGCGCCGGGCAGGCTCGGCTCTGGCTCCATCAGCCAAGGTCCCCCGATTCCCTGAATCCCGACCCTCTCCTTGCCCGCAGGTGATCCTGGCAGCGCTGTGGCTCGCAGCAAGTGAATCGCAGCCCCCAGGTTGCCGGGACTGCGCCCTGCCATGGGGGCAGCAGGTGCCGGTGCGGCTGCAGAGGCACATCACGAAAGCCCGCTGCCCCCTCGGCATGAATTGGGTCGAGGCAGTTCGCCAGTGCTGTACTCAGTGTCCTGCAGGTGAGAGCTGCCTGGCCAGCACAGCGCGGCTGTGGCACACTGGGACTGTGGCCCTACACAGCCATGCTCCTTGTCACCCCATTGTCCCCACAGGGAAGTTCCTGAGCACCCCCTGCTCCAGCAGTGGCAACGACACCGTCTGCACCTCCTGCCCCGCCGGCACCTTCCTCACCCAGCCCAACACTCTCACCGAGTGCCAGGCTTGCTACGAGTGCGACCACCAAAGTGAGCCTGTGCTGTGCTGTGCCGTGCCACGCTGTGCCACGCTGCGCCATGCTGTGCCACGCTGTGCCACGCTGCGCCATGCTGCATGGCTCCGTGCCGCACCATGCCACTCGCTGCCTGTTTCCCACAGCTTTCCAGACCGTGCTGACCAACTGCTCAGCCACCAGCAACGTCATCTGCGGCTGCGAGACCGGCCACTTCCGCCAGTGCCACAACAGTGCCTGCAGTGAATTCTCATGCCAGCAGTGCGAGCCCTGCGCCGGGCGGCTCGTCCAGCGGCCCTGTGAGTGCCCTGAGGCTGTGCCACGCTCCCGCTGGCACTGCCACCTCTGGCCCTGACACCCACCCTCTCCCCAGGCTCGGAGGCGCAGGACACCGTCTGCGGTGGCTGCAAACCCAACTTCTACGCCGAGGGCAGTGAGTGCCGGCCGTGCCACACGTAAGTGCTGACACTCCCATGGTATGCGTGGTACAGCACGGTGCCTATGGCTCCCCTCTCCTTGCAGGAGCATCCCCGAGACGTGCGGCAAGGAGTGCCAGCGGGTGTGCGGCGTCACCGGGGGCCAAGGTGCGGGTTTGGCAGTGCCAGGGTGGTGATGGTGCAGGGGACGCTGCACCGGCTGGCTGATAGTGATGCTCCTGCTCCTCCTTGCAGGCTCAGGGCTGGAGTACATCCTGCTGGCACTCACAGGGCCCCTCTTCCTGGGTGCCCTCGGTATCTACCACAAGAGGAAGCGTCTCTGGCACAAAACCCCAGCAGGCAGCCCCCTCACCCCGATATCCGGCCCTGTGGCCACGCCGCAGTGCCAGGTCAGTGCCCAGGGGTGGGACAGCCAGTGCTGGACCCAGCCACACTCCCCACCAGCGCTGGAGCATGCCAGCGGCGTGGCAAGGCAGAGCCCCGAATGCGAGGCACTACTGCGGGGGCAGCCCGGTGAGCTGGAGCCCTCTGCCCCTCCGGAGCCCCGCAGCGCCCTGATGCAGGGCAGCCAGCTCTATGCCGTCATTGACGCAGTGCCAGTGCGGCGCTGGAAGGAGTTCATGCGGGTGCTGGAGCTGCGGGAGGCAGATATTGAGCTGGTGGAGCTGGAGGTGGCTCACATCCGCGACCAGCAGTACGAGATGTTGAAGCGCTGGTGCCAACAGACCAGCGCTACGCTGGACCGCATCTTCGCCGCACTGGAGCGCATGGAGCTGGCCGGCTGTGCCGAGGCGCTGCGCCGGAGCCTGTCAATGGGACCCTGACCCCTGGTGCTGCGCCCCATCAGAGGGAGGTGCCTCAGCCGAGCCATACCCCTAAGTATTGTTACTTATGCCGTGTAGACATTTTATGTCAGTTTATGTCCCCTTCCTGCCCGCCGGCCCCCCCCTATTTATATCCCCCTGCTCACGGGGCCAGAGGGGACCCCGCACACCGGCTGCCGGGCCCCTCGCGGGGTGAGCGGGCATCGAGCCCCTTTGAACCCATGGGATAGTTCTCGAGGCCGCCCGCAGCTGGCGGCACGTGCCCCCACCCCAATAAAGTGGCACGTTCTCCATCCGCCGGTCAGGGTCATCACCGCGGGTGATGCTGGTGATGGGGTGATGAGGGTGATGGGCAGCGCGGTGCGGGCAGGGGGTGGCATGGGCAGCCCTAGGAAGGCGCGGGGCACTGCTGGCGGGGTTTATTGGTTTAATGGCTGGGAAGGCAGGCGGGCCGGGGCGAGGGGAGCCGGGAGCCGGCCTGGAGCAGCTCCGGAGGTGGGAGGGGCAGGACTGGAGCCGAAGATGCTGCAGCCGCAGCGGCGAGCTGTGCCAGCGGGGAGCCGGCAGCGCAGCCGACCCGGGCGCCATGGTCATGCCGGGCGGCACACAAGGAGCCGGGTGCCCTGTGCTACGGCAGCTCGCTGTGCACAGGGCAGCACGGGGTGGCTGTGGGCTGGTGGCAGTGGGACGGGGCTATGGATGGCAGCAGGGGCTCCTCCGGGTCGGGCTATGGAGCCGTCTGCGGCGGGAGGAGGGTGCCGAGGGCATCCTGGTCCATGGTGGGACCTGCTGGCCTCCTCCCACCACGAAGAGCCAGGGCACGGCATGGCGTGGCTAGTGCTTGGCTATGTCCCCCTTCTTGAGGATGATCTGCCGCTGCCAGGGTGCCAGCTTTGTCTCATCGTACCCGAGAGTCCTTAGCTTTTCCGACTGCTCCTTCTCCTTCTCCTCCTCCTCCCGCTTCAGCTTCTCCTGCTCTTTCCTGCTCGGCAGCGGAGGGCACGGGGTGCCACGGTCACCAGAGCCGCCGCAGCCACCGTGCCCACCTGCCCACCCAGGGAAGGGGCTTGTGGCACTCACCGTTTCTGCTCCCTGCGAAGGCAAAGGGAAGAGCAGAGTTAGCGGAGCCATGGGTGCAGCCACCCCGTGCTGCATCCCCCGGCCCCGGCTCACCTCTCCTCCTCCAGCTTCTTGCGCAGGATGTCCCTCCTCCAGGCCGGCATGCTGGCCAGGCGCGCCTCCTCCTCCTGCTCCTGCAACAGACACCCGTGTTACCGGCGCTGCCGGCAGCCCACCCTCACCATCGGCACCACGGGGCAGCAGCATCACCCGGCACACGGCACCGCTCATCGACGCTGCCCCTCGCTACCGGTCTTTGCCATCGCGGGGAGGAGGAAGGAGTGCGCGGCGTGGCCAGCCCTTCGCAGCACACCACAGCTTTATTGCACTGACACGCGGGGGGCTCACACCGCCCCGGCACCGCAAACACCACTCCCGAGGGGAGCGCAGCCCCGGCGCTGCGTCCCCGCACAACACAGCACCACAGCAAGCGGCACACCGCAACCTCAGCCTGCGCCCAGCGCAAACCAGTACCGAGCCCTCCGCTGGGCTGAACCCAAGCACCGGGTCCTGCCGCCGGCGGCACCCGCTCGCAGCCAGCCCCGTGCCACACACCGCCCGCCGCATCCCGCCGGGCTCAGGTGTCGGACATCTCCACCTCCTTCTCCTTCCAGAAGGAGAAGCTGCGGTCGATGAAGCGACAGACATCCTCCTCGCTGAACTCGCCCAGCTCCGGCACTGGCGCCGGCGCTGCGGCCCCTTCCCCTGGCGGTACGGGCATGGCGGGGCTGTCCCCAAAGAACTCGTGCACCAGGTCCTCAAAGCCGTCGCACCAGCAGCGGTGTCCGGCCTCGACCCTCTCCAGCGCGGCGCGGTGGAAGCGGCGCACGCGGTGCCAGCTGTGGCTGCCCAGGCGGTCAAACATCTCGTAGCAGAGGAGGTGGCGGAAGCGCCGCTCCTCGGGGCTCAGCGGCATCTCCAGCAGCTGGAAGTAGCCCAGCATGAAGAGGTCGAGGGGGAGGCTGTCGTGGGGCACGGGCGAGCCGCCGACGTGGGGCAGGAAGTGCTGGGGCCAGTAGAGCACCGTGGCGCGGCTCAGCCGCCGGATCTGCCGCCCCGGCACACGGCGGGCGATGCTCCTCCAACGGGCCAGCAGCCTCCCCGCCGCCCGCCGCCGCCCCCCCGGCCACTGCAGCCGCTCCTCGCCGGGCACCGCCGCCAGCACCCGCTTCCTCCAGTGCTCCAGGAAGAGGCAGACGGCGCGTTCCTTGCGCGCCTCGGCGCGCTCCCGCGGGCTGCTCTGCCGCGGTGCCCCGGCCCCGTACTCCTCCTCCAGGACGGGCCGGCGGGTGCTGCCGGGGGGCTGCGAGCGCTTGCGCTTGGTGACCCTGGGGAGGGGCGCAGGGCCCCCCCCCGGCCCCTCGTAGTTGGCTTTGAGGCTGCGGACGGACACACCGCAGCCCCGGATCTCGCGCTGGGCATCGCGCAGGGTGCCGGGGCTGCTCCCAGCCCCAAGTCCCCAAGCGGGCACATCCTGATGGGCAGGAGCATCCCGGGGCGCCGGGGCCGTGTGGCGCGGCAGGAGCGGCCCCAGCTCCTGCTCCAGCCGCCCGGGCAGCAGCGGCCCCGGCCGTGCCTCCTGCATCACCCGCAGGCTCCCCAGCCGCCGCTCCACGTGCCGCACATCCTCCTCCCGCATCGGCTGCCCGGCGGGTCCCGGCGGCCCGGGGCGGCCCGGGGGCTGCGAGCGGCTCCCGGGCTGCGGCGGGAGAGAGGGCAAAGGGGCTCTTGAGGCTGTGCCATATGCGCCTCACGCCACCGCCACCCTGGGGCGCGGTGCCCCTGCGTGCGTGTGAGGTGGTCCCTGCCTTGGAGCTGGAGGTGATGCCACGCACACCGTGACACCAGGTCTGGAGGTGCTGGGCCGTGCCCGCGCCGTGCTCGCCACCCCGGCACCCAGGGCCCCCCTTACCTTGCGGCGCTGCTCCTCTTCCTCCTGCATGCGGAGCTGCAGCTTGCGCACCATCACCTGCCGCTTCCACTCGGGAATGGGCCGGCCCTGCTCATCGTGGCTCGGCACCAGTGCCTCCGCCTCCACCGCTGCCCCAGCGCCTGCCACCGGCACCGGCGAGCTCCCATTGAGCACTGGCTCCGGTGAGCTGCCTGCCAGGCAGCGCGGTGGCCCGGTGGCCTCAGGGGTGGCCGGTGGGGTGGGCGTCCTGGTGGGTGATGGGGAGGACACCGGCGACTCTGCCTGTGGAGAAATAGAGCCCAGTGGTAGGTGCCACCCAGCCACACCGCACCACGCCGCCGGCACCCCTGTCATCGCCACCACCTACGTTGGCCCCTGCCTGGCCACTGCCGGAGAAGACGGTGGTGAAGCCTTTGCTCTGTGGCGTTGGCTTGAGGCTCTTCCCAGCCTTGATCTCGGCCAGCAGCTCCGAGTTGTCACCGGTGGGGGACATCATGTTGAAGGACTTGGTGCCTGGTGGGACGCAGGGTGGGCAATAAGAACCCAGCTGCCCGCAGCCCCTGATGCCCTGGGTGCACTGCAGGCTGGCAGGGCACAGGGGTGGTTGGCTGATTGCTCCCCACAGCTGGGACCCCCTGGGAGCCCCATCAGAGCAGCATCCCTCATCCCCCCCATAGCAAGAGCAGTGACCTGCCTGTGGAAGGACCAGTCCATGGCTGGTCCAGCACGGTAGGACAGACCCGTGCTGCCTCGCTGGGGAACTGGACACCCTACAGCCCTCAGCAGCAACACACCGGCACCCTGCACCAGCCCCACGCCATCCCCATGGCTGCACAGCACCGGAGCACAGCAGCGCCGCCAGCAATGCCCACACCCCATGAGCACCCACCGTCCGTGCCAGCCATGAGCGGGTCCCTAACGGCCCATGGTGCTGTGCCAAGGCAGAGCCCCCTCCCCGGTGCCAGCGGCTCGCCGCACTCGGAGGGCTGTGGGTGCTGCGGGCGCTGCCATCCAGCGCTGCCGAGACCCCGCGGCCCCGGGAGCCGGCGCTAATAAAGCTCGGGGGAGCGGCCGGTGCTCACGTGGCGGGGTCACGCCGGCCGGCTGAGCGCGAACAAAGGCTCTCTGTGAGCAGGGCCCCGGTGCTGCCAGCCCTGACCGGCGGCTTCGGCAGCCCCGCGCCGTCGCTCGGGAGCCGCATGGCATCTCCTGGCGATGCCGTGGCAAGGGCCCAGTGGGCCCCGGCGCTGCCGGCAGTTGCCAGACCCATTGGTCATCAATGTCCCATGGCTCCGGCATGGGACGGTGCCAGCTTGGCCCCTCTGGCACCCCGAGCAGGAGGTGCTCAGGGCTGCGGTACTTACTCTTCATCTGCCTGAGCGCCTTTCCTCCTAGGGGGAGAAGCAGAGAGGCGGCGCAGGGCGCGCGGCAGAGGAAGGATTTGGCCACCGTGAGACAAGAGAGAAGAGAAGCGGCCAGCAGTGAGAGCAGGCAGGGGCGGGTGGGCAGGGGGGCCCCCGCGCCGACACCGGAGGAGAGAAGGACAGAGAGGCCGTCAGGAGCTGCGCGGCTGCGGTGCCGCAGGAGGAGATGTGCCGGTGCCGCGGTGCAGCCGATGGGACAGTGCCCGGGATCGCCTCCCGGGATCCCTGCCACTTACTTCCCGTGGAGGAGGACGAGCGGCGCGCGCCGGCGGGGGTCTCGGGCATCGCTGGTGGTGGTGGAGCCGTGGGGCAGGCGGCATCGGGCAGTGGTGGCGGTGGCGGTGGTGGCGGCAGCTCGGCACCAGGCTTGCTCTCCCCATTGCGCATGGTGTCTGCTGAGATGGGCGATGCCTGGAGGAGAGCAGGGGCAGGCGTCGCGCGGTGCCGGTGGTACTGAGCCACACGCAGGCTCGCGGCACAGGGCCCAGCTCTCACCTCCTCGCTGTGCGCCATTCGCCGGGGCCCGGGCTGCTCGGCTGCACCGTGCCCCAGGTGCTTGTAGTAGTCACCGGTGCTCGGCTGCTTGCCAAAGTTCCTCGACCGCCGGCTGGAGTCGACCCTGCGCAGGCCCTCGGGGCTGCTCTCACGTGATGCCAACTGCAATGGGGAGCGTGGCTTAACACAGGCACGGCCGTGGGGCAGAGCCAAGGCACAGTGGGGCCATGGGGCAGATGCCAGGCTGGGGCGACGGCAGGCGCATGCCCCGAGGGTCCCCTTGGCACAAGGCTGCACTCGGGGCTGTGCGCCAGGCTGGCAACATGTGCCTGGCACTGTGACCCCCACCCCAGCCTGTGCCCAGGAGCCTCCCCTGGGATAACCCCGTGGGAACAGGAGTGCCAAGCCCCGGCCCTGTGGATTATCGGGAGCTAATCCCCTGCAGGGCCAGGGCCTGGTGCCAAACCGCCCTCTGAACAGGGCGCTCCGGCAGCGCAGCCCCGGCTCACCCCGGCACATACCGCAGCGGCTTTGCTGCAGGGCTGCGCTGCAGCGGCTGTGCCCGCTCCATGGTTTATGGTGCTGCGGCAGCACGGCCCCGTGCCCCATGCCGGGGGCCCTGCTATTTGCATTTCCCCGTGCGCCATCTCCGCCCGCAGCACTCGCACGGCGCTCGCCACCAGCATCAAGTCAACAAGCGCCATCTCAGCGCTTCCTGCTCTGGGTGCCGCGGGCACGGCGCCAAGCCCGGCTCCTGCCGTAGCAGCCCCAGCCCCGGTTTGATGTGGGGTCTGCACTGCCCAGCCCCATTGCATGGGGTGCCTGTGCCACTCCGGCACCGGGCTGGCATCTCCTCAGGGCAGCTGCGGTTGGGGCCACTCATTAAGTGCTGAGCGAGGGCCACACACAATGGGGTCCTGAGCCTAAACAGCACTCTGCCGAGCCCCCTGCCCCATATGCCCCTGTCCCCTTTAGCGCTGGGCTATGCCAGAACCCTGGCCATGGCCACACAACAGGTTCCTGCCACTGGTGGGGTGCCAAGAGCCATGCTTGGGGGTCAGGACACCCGCAAGCCCCCCTCACCCCACTGCCCCCCCAGCCCTGGGGGCTGCACCCCTCTTACCTGTGCCCACCTGGCTGAGCGCTCTCAGCTGCTGGCAGTGCCGGCTGTGCCACCCGACACCCGCAGCACCGGGACACCGGAGCCGGCCGCTCGGGTTGCAGCCTGCGCGGCTGCGCACGCCCAGCACGGTGCCGGCGGCATTGCCCGGGCCTCATGGGCGCGGCTGCACGGTGCCGCCAGCCTGGCACCGCGATGGAGCGGGGCCCCCAGTGCCGTGCTGGAGCATCGCTGGGCACCCCGGTGTGCGCCAGCATCGCGGGTACATGGCCTCAATGGGCAATGTCCCCTCCGGTGCCATCATGAGCTGATGGCTCCCCATGGGGATGGGTGCTCGGTGGCACGGCCCCTGAGCTGTGTGGCCAGCAGCGGCCGTACCTCTCGGCGCAGCGCCTGGCTCTCCACGTGCCGCAGGTTGTTCTTGGCCCGCACGTAGATGTCAGCGGTGTGGGGCGCGGTGGGGGGCGTGGGAGCGGGGTACCCGGGGGGTGGTGGTGGTGGGGGGGGGAATGTGGGGGGCGGCGGTGGGGGGGGACCCTCCCCTGCGGGCCCCCGTCCCCGTGGCCGCGTCTCGGGGTCCAGCATGTCCATGTACGCCTGCATGTCCGCCAGCGCCGGCTCGGGCACCCCTGCGCAGGGCAGGGGGTCAGGGGGGGCTGGCCCCGTGCCCCCCGCCCTGCGCCCCACGGCCCAGCACTCACGGGAGGCGGGGGCCCCCGGGGGGCCGCCCCTCTTGTCGCCGGTGCTGGACTGGCTGGAGTGGCAGGAGTCGTAGTTGGAGAGGGTGCTGGTGGGGGAGCCCACCTCGAAGCGCGCCTGGGGTGCCGACGCCGTGGTGTTGGGTGAGGACATGCCCGAGTCCGGCTGCCGGCACTCCCCATCCGCCGAGGGGTCCCGCGACAGCACGCGGTGCTCCACGCTCTGCCGGCACAGCCCCACGGTCAGGCACAGGGTGGGAGCAATGGTGCTCCCCATGTGTCAGCCCCAGGGCACCCCCGTACCATGTTCTCCACAGTGCGCAGGTACTGCGCGCAGTGGCTGTGGCCATTGTAGTCGGCAAGGTCAGCCGCTGTGTAGCCGTCCTGGTCGCGGATGCTGAGGTCGGCGCCGTTCACCACCAGGATCTGGCAGCACTGGGGAGAGTGGGGGCACATGGTGGGGCTGGAGGGTGGCTCCCTGCCCCCCCCCCCCCCCAACCTGCTCCAGCACCACGCCGGTCACCAGCACCCACCTCCAGCTCGCCGTTCTCGGCGGCATCATGCAGCGGCGTGCCGCCCCAGCTGTCCGCGGTGATCTCCCCGCCGTGCAGCAGCAGCCAGCTCAGCACTTTGGCATGGCCGCGGCTGGCGGCGAAGTGCATGGCCGTGGCGCCTTCGGCGTCCCGCTCCGACAGGCTCACCGTCGTGAAGCTCATCTGCGCGGTGTTGGGTCGAGCACCGGTGCTGAGCACCGCAGGCCCCGCTGTTGTGCTGTATCACCCCACCGTGCCCGGCTCTTACCAGCCAGACGATGACGGTGTTATGGCCCATCTGTGCGGCAGCGTGCAGCGGGGTCATGCCGTCGTGGGCGCGTGCGTGGGGATCGGCCCCGCAGTCCTGCACCAGGTACTGGATGATCTCCAGGTGGCCCTCCTGGCAGGCGAGGTACAGCGGGGTGGCCCCCGTCTTGGTCTGGGCACTCAGCGTGCTGCAAGCGGGGCACAGGGCCTGTCACCCGTGACCACTGCACTGGGACCAGGGTACAGGGTGCAGGGGCCATGTGGGACACAGGGATATGGGGTTATATGGGACACGGGGTTATATGGGACACAGGGACATGGGATTATATGGGACACAGGGACACGCAGGAGCACAGAGGGGATGCTGGCTGGGTTCATGCAGTGTGGATTGGGAACAACCCACCCCACAGCTCCCCACTGAGTCCCCGCACAGCAGCGGCCACTGCGGCAGGAGGTCACTAAGTTAATCAGCCTGCTTAGGCTAAGCTCCTTCCTCCGGCTCTTTTTGGGCACTGCAGTTTAGCCCTGTTCTTAAATAAGCAGCTTAGGCAGCACCGGCTGCTGGGCAGCCAACAGGGAAAGGCTGACCTGCACCACGCTGACCCACACCACGCTGACCCGCACCATGCTGACCCACACCACACTGACCCGCACCACACTGACCTGCACCACACTGACAGGCCCCAGCATCCCCCCTCGGCTCCCGGTCCTGAACTGCACATCCCAAATCGCACAGCCTATATCTTACAACCCTGCATCCCACCCACCCATACTCTGCATCCCTGCCGTGCAGGAAGCTGTTTTGTTAAGCACCCCATAAAAACCCCTGTTGAATATTTAAAAGAGGAAGAGCAATAAATACTCTGCTCTGTTATCACAGTGATCATGGGCCCTTAATAATTGATCCCTGTAAATGTGAGACGGGCCGTGGTCAGCGCTGCCTTCCCACCGTGCCACAGCACCAGGCTAGCACAAGCAAGGGCCAGTGCTGGCGTGATGGAGGCTGGGTTGGGGTACAGGGAGCTATGGGGGCATAGGCACATGTTCAGCCCCTGGGTCCCGTTTCCCACTAATCGGGAAGGGGTTAAGCCTCTTGGACAAGCGCTGGTAAACTGCTTTGCCAGATGGCCTCGACCCCACACTGGGGCCACCGGCTGCCGGGGATCCCACAGGCCGGTGCTAAGGTGGGCTGGAAGTGCCAGCATCCCACCGTGGCTCCCGGGGATTGGATTTCGTGGCTGTAACGGAGCCTCCGGGCGGGCACGGGGCCGGGAGCGGGGCCAGCCCTAAATAATTCAGGGGGAAGGCGTCAACGGCAGCAGAGCAACCCCAGCAAGAAGAGTGAAAGCCAACGCCAGCACCGCGCTCACCGGGGCCAATGCAGCGGGCACCGAGCAGGAGCTGTGGTTGGGCTGGGGCTGGGCTGTGGGCCATGGGGGGTTAACTGCCCCCTACCCAGGTGCTGGGCCTGAGCTGACACACCTGGGGAAGGGGATAAAGAGCCGGGGCTGGGGCTGGGGAGGCTGTGGTGGTGCTGGTGAGTGCCATGGGGATATAGGGCCCCTGCAATGGGCTCTGCCTGGTGGGAAGGATGGGGGGCTGACATCGTGTACCACAGGGACAGAGGGGTCCTGAGCCCCAGTTCATATCTTGCATATTTGGGACCCTGTGGATATGGGGGTGCCGCGTAACCCCCTGGCATCCGCATCCTTTCAGCCTGCTGGGCACGGTGTGGGGCAGCAGCGTGGGCCCTGGGGCTGGGGGTTATTTCTAGCGGCCTCTGCCCACCGCAGCAGCAAATTGGATTAGGGGCCACCTAATCCCCGCCGTGGCCCCGCGGCCAGGCTTGGCACCCTGTGGCCGGGGGTTGCTGTGCCGCGCACCCGGGGGGCACCGTCGGGAGGCGAAGCGGGGAGGACGATTCACGTCCAGCGATGCCCGTGGCACCGGGCGGGCGGAAAGGTCGGGTCCGGCGCGGGGAGCGGCCTCTCCCCGGCGGGCAGCCCAATCCATTTACATAACGCGCGGACAAAGGCGGCTGTGTTATCGCCCCGAGCCAGCAGCACCGCGGCCCGCAGCAGTATTTCTGCCAGCGCTCCCCGCTCTCCTCCTCGCCCTTTCTCTCAGGGCCATAAAGAAGGTGAGGCTGACTGCCTGCGCTGATAACGCTGCGTTGCCCTTGGAGCTGCGTGATGCGGGTGGCTGCGCTGTTTGTCCCCGGGGCTGGCTCCTTGCCCGGCGGCCGGAGGGAGGGATGGGGCAGCAGTGGGGACCCGCGCCCCCGCTTGCCCCTTTTTGCTGGCAGCGGGGGCCGTTACCTGGGGCAGTGTCCCAAGAGGAGTCGCAGGGAAGGGAAATCCCCTTTGGCCGCGGCGTAGTGGACGGGCAGCGCTCCCGTGTTGGTGGCTGCCGTGGGGTCGCTGCCTCCGAAGCGGAGGAGCCACTCGATCACCTCGTGGTGACCGAAGCGCGCTGCCAGGTGTAGGATGGTGGCACCGGAGTTGTCTGTATCCTACGGGAGGAAGCGGGGTGGCTTTTGGCACCCGGGACCTGAGCCCTTTGGCAAGGCAGAGTGTGACGGGCCGCTGGGCATCACCCAGAGGAGCTGGCCCCAGCAGGGTGGGCTGGCTGCGGTGGAGATCCTGGCCGCGGAGGGACAGGACCATGAGGCGGACCATGGGGCAAGCGTGCTGGCTGCAACCAGCAAGGAGTGGGCAAAGCCCCCTTGTTCCGCCGGTGTGGAGCAGCCCCGGCCTGTGGGAGCGCACCGCAGAACCCCGTTGTGCCGCCGACCGGAGCCTGCCCAAGAATGCTGACCCCGTCCTTCCCGATTAATCCCCGGCCCCTCTGCCACCTCCTCTTCCTCCAGCCCGTCACATGTCCTCAGCTCTCGGCCGGCCCCGGACAAGCCGCTTACCGCCCCGGTCCCGCCGTTGTGTAACCCCGGGAGGGAGGCTCTGTGCTCCCCTCGGGGCTCAGCCCCGCCGGGGCCACTGGAGGCTCCCCGGGCCCGGTGCTGGCCGTGACTCCCCCCTCCGCCCCGCCCAGGAGGGGCCGGGGAAAGTCGCCCCGGTTCCCGTCGCCGCCGGTGTCCCCCCGCCGCCCCCCCCGCGCCCCGCTCGCACCTGCACGCCGCAGCCCCCCTGCGTGAGCAGCCACTGCAGACAGGCCAGGTTGCCGGTGGCGGCGGCGTCGTGGGCCGGTGTGGCCCCGTTGCGGGCCCGCGCGTCCCCGCGCAGAGCGGCCTCAGCCGCCAGGAAGCGCAGGCAGGCGAGGCGGCCGGCGCGGGCGGCGTGGTGCGCGGGGGAGGCGCCCAGCGCGTCCCGCAGCCCCGGCCGCAGCAGCCCGGCCGCCCGCAGCCCCCGGAGCGCCTCCACGTCTCCCAGACGCGCCGCCAGCAGCGCCCGCTCCAGCGCCATCCCGGCCCCGACGGCACCGGAGCGGGCCCCGCCGGCCCGCCCGCCGCTTGGCACTGCGCGGCGCTCCAGCCCCGCCGCCCCCCGGCCCCGCCGGCTCCACCTCCTCCTCCTCCTTGCCCGGGGCCGCCCCTCCGCCCGCCCCGCCCGACGGCTGCCCGCTGACCGGAGCTCTCCGCCCGCTGCCCAGGGCGGTCGCTTTTTGCTGCGCTGCAGCTGGGACCGGGACTGGCCCGAGGAGCTCAAGAGCGGCCCGTGCCCGGTTGCCGCCACTGCCCTCCACGGCCCTGGGGAGCTGCTCCCCTCTTGCCCCACGAGTGTCTCCATCCGCCGCCCCGACGTGTGCCTGCTGACCCGGCAGCACTGGGGGGAGCGGAAGAACGCTGGCCGGGGTGAGCTGCCTCGTCCTGCCGCGGGGGAGCCGGCCCCGCGGGAACCGACGACGGGCAGCGGCGGCGATTACCGGTTACGAGCAGCGCGGGCGGGTTGGGGCTGCCCCGCATCAGCACCGCGGACAGCGGCAGCACCGCGCGTTCAGCACCGCGGACAGCGACGAGGCCGCCCCTCCCGTCCAGGCCCGCCCCGCCGGCAAATAAAGGCGGTACCGGAACCGGTACCGGGGCGGTGGAGCGCTACGTCCCCGTCGGGCGCTGCCGTTGCCCTGTTCCATAAGGCGATAGCTCCTGGACACCCCTTTCCCCCTGGGACTCCCTTCCCCTCCGTCCCTGCCAGCCCGCTCCGTCCATCCCCATCCATGCACCGGGGCCACAGCCCCACGGGACACCCCCGACCGGGGGCCACCGGCGCTCCGCCCCACGCCGCTCCCGCTGACCCCGCCCACCCTGCCGGCTCGGGGGCGTGGCCAGGCGCTGCTGGCCAATGGGGCTTCGCGGTAGGCGTGTCCGCAGCCGGGCGGGGCGCGGCCGGGCGCGGTGCTGCCGCAGCGCCGTTGCGGGCGGGGCGCCGGTGCCGCCATGTCGGAGCGGGGGGCCGCGGGCCCGGGCCCGGCCGCCATCCAGGTCTCCAGGTACGGCCCCGGGGCACCGGGAGGGCCGGGCAGGGCAGGGCTGGGGGGACTGCGGGCGGGGCCGGCCTCTGTAACCGGGATGCTACCGGCGGTGCTGCCTGCATCCGGCCTGCGCTGGTCACGCTGCCGGCATCAGCATCACTGCCTGCGCTGCTGCCGGCATCAGCATCACTGCCTGCGCTGGTCCACGCTGCCGGCACCAGCATCACTGCCTGTGCGGGAGACGCTGCCTGCCTCAGGCACAGCGAAGCAGCGCTGCTCTCTCGCCCCATTGCGTGTGAGCTGGGCAGGGTGTGTCCCGGTTTTTCTGCCTTTTCCTGCTGCGGCTTTCTCATGCCAAGGCGTGGGTCCTGTCTAGGCCCACACGCAGCCATTGCCCCATAATCATTGTGTCTCTCCTTTCCTCCTTTGCTTGATTATTTGATGCTGGCAAAAGCTGCTGCTGCTGGGATGCTGTTGTCCTGGCCGAGCCAGCTGCCCCCGGCACAGGAGCGATGCTTCCTTCCAGTCCCAGCAGTAATTTAGGGCAGTTTCCGCTGCCGCTTGCAGGAAGCCACGTGCAGGCAGTGCTGGTGACGTTGCTGGCATCAGCATGGTGAGATGGCCCAGCAGCTCATCCGGTAGGGCCATGGCAGTGCCTATGGGTGGCTGACCCTGGTCAGGGGCAGGTAGCAGGCTGAGAACTCCCATGTCTCTCCCCTGGCAGAATCATGCGACCGGATGATGCCAACTTTGCTGGGAATGTCCATGGGGGAATCATCCTGAAGATGATCGAGGAGGCAGGAGCCATCATCAGCACCCGCCACTGCAACTCCCAGGATGGGGTGAGCTGGTGCCAGCCTCCGGCTCGGTGACTCTCTGACCCCCCTGCTGTGCCTCAGGGGTCTGGGGGCCTTCCCATTTCCCCCCCTGCACTGGAAGCATTTGCTCCTGAGTGCAGACCACAGCTGCGCTGGAGCATGGCCATGGTTTCCAGGATCATGCCACTGAAATTGTTTTGCGAGCAGAAACGATGCTGCTGGTAATACTTTAACAGCCATGAAGGGCAAGTTGGAAGCAGCTTGGTGTCAGTTATGGGCGGGGAAGGAAACATGGCCATGGGCTGATAAGGCGGAGGTTGAAATGCCGGAGCCACATGCGGCGCGGGCCGGCCCCAGCGGCACGGCTGCGGTCCTACCCTCACTGTGCCACGTCCGCAGGAGCCCTGCGTGGCCGCGCTGGCGCGGGTGGAGCGGACGGACTTCCTCTCCCCGGTGTGCATCGGCGAGGTGGCCAACGTCAGCGCTGAGATCACCTACACCTCCCGGCACTCGGTGGAGGTCCAGGTCAATGTCATGTCCGAAAACATTCTCACAGGTGAGTGGCTGCTGGGAGCCCTGTCCCAAAGCTCCGGGAATAATGGCGATGAGCCCAGAGCTCGCGGTGGTGATCCCGTCCTCCGGCAGCATTGGGCAGAGGGAGATGCTGTGTGCTTATTGAGAGGGCTGTGGGCGTCGCAGCGAAGGGGCAGCCAGGCTGGTCCCTGGGGACTGCAGCTCCATTGATGGCTTTTAGGGAAGAACAGTGAATCCCTGCGGGCCCCTCCTGCCTAATTTACAGCTCGTGGAGGCCTTTGGTCTGAACAAGGCCCTTTTCCTGCTGTTGCTGTGGCAACCGGCTCAAATTGCCAGGACGCCTTCCCAAAAGCGCATTGTCACATCCGTTGTGAGCCAGAGCCCATCAGGGCAGGGGCCTGCCCAGTGACAGTAGCATCGCCAGGGTATGGCCAGCCCTGTACCACAGCAGTGCCGGTGGTAGAAGCGCTGCTGGTGTTGGCACAGTCACCCTTTGCCACCTCTCCTCCAGGGGCAAAGAAGGTGACAAACAAGGCGACGCTGTGGTATGTGCCACTGTCCCTGAAGAACGTGAACAAGGTCGTTGAGGTTCCCCCCATCCAGGTAGGACAGCTTGTGTTGGTCACTGGAAACCGGAGCTACCCTGGCCCCGTTGGCACTCCCGGCAGTGCCGGTGGCTTTTCCAACCCCAGGGTGTGAGTTCTTACCAGCTTTTCCTTCCAGTATGCAAGAAAGGAGCAGGAGGAGGAGGGGAAGAAGCGTTATGAGGAGCAAAAGCTGGATCGGCTGGAAACGAAGCAGAGAAATGGAGATGTGATCTTCCCCATCATCAATCCAGGTACCGCAGGCGGTGCACGGCCTGTGCTGGGAGGATGACTGGTCCCTGAGGCAAGTCCAGCCATCCCTGGGCACGTGTGGCTGCACGTGTGCTCTGAAACAGTGCATCAGTGATGGGAGTGTGGAGGGGGAGCTGGGTGGGCTGTGACCCTGATGGTTGGTGAGTGGGATGCTCTCTTCCATAACACGGATCCTTGGGCAGAGGTGGAGAGGTGGTGGCCTGTGGGGATCATCGGGGAGGTGATGTGGGATGAAAGTTGCTCAAATGCTTTTTTCCCCTCTGTTCTCCCTGCTCACAGACAGGCAGACGAAAGGTAAGGCTCCGCAGCACCGCTGGTTTTCCTGCACTAAGCACCTTCAGCATCTCCCGCTAGACAGAAGATGCAGGCACTGAGAGCAGTTTTCCCCTGCTGGCAGTCAGTGTGATCTCTGTCGGATGGATTTAGTGGCAAGTCAGATGTCACCCGCGTGTGCCAGGGCTGGGGGGCTATGCCAAGGGGGAAACGTGGCTCCTTGGAGATGCCACTAAGCAGCAGGTTTGGGGAGGAGGGAAAGCGTACAGCCATGGGCTACTTGAAAGAAGAAAAGAGCTGAGCTGCAATAAGATTGGTGGGTGAGCATCAGAGGGAGGTGGCAGCCCATCGAGTGGTGAATAGTCTGCTCTTGGAACTTGCCAGCTCCCATTTAAACGCTGGTTTAAACATGCTTCAGCTTTGCACAAGCTAGCTCCACGTTTTCTTCCTTCAGACGGTTGAAGATGGGGCCATACGGGTGCTGACCAAGCAGCTCTGACCTCTGCTTTGCTCTCTTTCCCCCCACCCAGAGCCGCACACCGTTGGCTACAGCCAGTCCAGCCTGATCCATCTGGTGGGACCTTCCGACTGCACGCTGCTGGGCTTCGTGCATGGGGGTGAGTGAGCGCTGCCCCCTCCAGTGGCTGCCCTGGCTCGTCCCCTGAGCAGAAGCATGGTCTGAGAGTGACTTTGTTGTCTCTGTGTTTTCGGGAGGACAGAAGGCCCTTCCACCGTCTGTAAAGTTCAGCTTTGCTTCTGCTGAGACCAAAGCTTCAACTTTATCAATGCTGAAAAAAGGCTCTGAAAATGGGTGCTCAAACCATGAATCCTACAGTTTTGTCACCGTTTCTTAAGTTACAAATCTGGGACTATGAACACCCATGCACAGTGACTGCGATTTGTTGGAGCTATTTCCTCTTGGCTGGCACTGCCCAGTTTCCTCTTGGCTGGCAGCACCCATGGCCTGGGCAGGGTGTGTGGTGTGAGCCAGGGAGAGGCGCATTTGCCAAGGGCCGGGATGATGCTGGATGCTACTCTTCATGTAACCGTGTCCTTTCAGAAGCAAACAAACAATTTCTGGGAGCTTTTTCCAAGCAGGAAGTTTGTGTGACTGCTCTTGCCTTGGGAAGATGAGGTTTCCACAAAGAAACCATCGGCTTCCCTGAGGCAGAACCCTCTGTTCCCCCCAGGTGTCACCATGAAGCTCATGGACGAGGTCGCGGGGATTGTGGCTGCCCGTCACTGCAAGACCAACATTGTCACCGCCTCCGTGGATGCCATCAACTTCCATGAGAAGATCAAGAAAGGTACCAGGGTGGCGGTGGGCACTTTGCTCTCCTGCAGTGCCACATCCCGGCTCCCTTGGGTGCTCACACTGGCACAGAAATTATTCCCTGTTAGACTTGTCCTTGTGCGGAGAAGCCCAGCTCAAGGCTTAAGCAGAAAGCCCAGGGGCCCCCTTGCTCCCTTCCCCTGCGCAGAAGCAGAGCCCTCCTGCCTGACCTTCCCCTCCGCGCTTCGCAGGCAGCGTCATCACCATTTCGGGACGCATGACCTTCACAAGCAATAAATCCATGGAAATCGAGGTCTTTGTGGATGCGGACCCGTTCGTGGATGAGGCTCGGGAGCGGTACCGAGCCGTCAGCGCCTTCTTCACCTACGTCTCCTTGAGCAAGGAGGGGAAGCCCCTGCCCGTCCCGCAGCTGCTGGTAAGAGCTCTCTGCACCGGGCTGCGAGCCAGTGGGACCAGCCCTGCTCCTGCTGCGCCGGGGCAGAGCCCAGGCAGTTCTGCCCAACAAATCCTCTTCCCTTGAATTAATCAGCACAAAAACATGTGTGAAGGAGCCTTAGGGTTGGTTGGGTTTGCTTTTGCTATTTTTACACCCATTTCCTATGAAACTTGCCAGAGTTTTTTCCTTTCCCGTGGGTGAGGACAGGCACCGTGCAGGCTCTGCAGCTTCCCGTGTCACACATGGGAGGGGACCCTGCGCAGCAGCGGGGTTCCTCTCCCCATGGTGTCCCCACTCCAGCCTATTTTTAGCTCTGCCGATCCCAGCAGGGCTTTGGCGCGGCGCTGGGGGCTCTTCATGGATATTTCACCCCGTGCAGGTCTCCTCCTGCTCTGTGTAGGAGCGCGGTACCTGCAACAACACGCGTTGCGCAGAGCACGGTGCTTCCCATGACAGTGGGGCTGCTGCGTGGCCACGGGGCAGCTCACGCCGGTGCCTTTGCTCTCTTTCTGTCCCCCTCAGACGGAGACGGAGGACGAGAAGCGGCGCTTCGAGGAAGGCAAGGGCAGGTACCTGCAGACCAAGGCCAAGCGGCAGGCGCAGCTGCAGCAGGCTGCCCTGCAGTGACCCATCCCGCCCCGCGCGCCGCAGCCACGGTTCCTGTTCGTGTCGTGTCCGCGCCGGGCCTCGCGCCCTTTGCCTGCCGCCGGAGCCGCCGCGGCCGTGCCGCTGCTTCGCCGCTCATCGGTTTAGCGCCGTAGACCTTGTGCTTTTAGGTGGCTTCAGCGCGCCCTGGGAGCCTTTCCCATCGCTCGCCATTCACCTCTGGAGCTGTTCCCACTGTTGAATCCCACCGGAGAGGGTCCCTTTTCCCCGTGCCGGAGCGAGACGGGGGCGCGTGGTGGTGTGAGGGACGCGCGAGGCCGCGAGTCTGTGTGATGCTGTGTTAAACGTGCCGGTACATCCTGAACCAAAGCTTCTTACGTACGATCCTTGGGACGAGGAACGCGCCCCGGGGTCGTATGGAATGTCTGGGACCGTTTCGTTGACATCTCTAGGTAGTTTCTCTGTGCACATCTAACTTATTTAAGGAAACCTGTGGCATAAATAAAGTCTGTTGTTGCTGACTGGAATGAAATGGGTGTTCCTTGGGGGGGGGGGGGGGTGAGAAGCAGCAGTTGGGTTTAGGAGCTCGATTCCCAAGCGTTGTGCCGCTTCCCGGGGTGTCCCTAAGCTGGCTCCTCATGGAGCTGCCCGCTTTAACGGCACCGCAGCGCTGCACCCACCCGGGGCTGCTCCGGGGCCCGGGACTCGGCTCCCCGCGGCTGTCACCGACCCCGCGAGCCCCGCGCCGGCTCCCACTGCCCATGCGCGCGGGGCGGGGCCCCGTTTCCCCGGCGACGCGGGGCGGAGCGGGCGCCGCCATGATGGCGGCGGCGGCGGGGTGGCGGGGCCGGCTGGGCCGGGAGGCCCGCGCCAGCCTGGCCGCGTTCCTGCTGGGCGCCTCGGTGTCGGCGCTGCCCGCGGCGCTGGGCTCCCCCGCCGCGCTGCTGGGCTCGCCGGGGCTGCGGGGCCGCATGGCCATAGCGCTGCACGGCGCGGGGGTCAACGCCGCGCTGCTGCTGCTCTACCCGCGGCCGCTCTACAAGGTGCGGGGGGACCGGGGCGGGCGCCGGGGGTAGGCCGCGGCGGGGCTTCCTCTCCGTCTCTTTCTCCCTTCTCCTTCCGTGTGCCCGCAGATCGCCGTCCGGGCCTGCTTCCTGGGCTTCGCCTTCGGCTGCGGGCTGCTGCTGAGCGCCGGCCGCTCCGCCTGGCGGCACTTCGGCTGGTAAGGGGCGGGCGGAGCGGCGGCGGGGCCCGGCGCGGCCGTGCCGGGGCCCGGCACAGCGCTGCCTCCTTGCTCGCCGCAGGTACATGTGCTCCCTGTCCCTGTTCCACTACTCCGAGTACCTGGTGACGGCCATCAACAACCCCCGCAGCCTCTCGCTGGACTCCTTCCTGCTCAACCACAGCTTCGAGTACAACCTGGCCGCCCTCTCCTCCTGGGTGGAGTTCACGCTGGAGAAGATCCTGTTCCCAGGTCGGTCCCTGCGTCCCTCCGAGCCCCCCGCCCTCCTGCCTGCACGGACCCGTGTGCCTGGTAGCCACGCGAGCCCTGCTTAGCTGAGCCGTGCTGACAGCAGGGCCGGGATTTGCTGCAGCCTTGATCTCTGTGTGCTTAAAGCCAGTGTTGTTCCTGGGAGGGCAAAGGGAGCCCCCCCTGTGCTCTCACGTGTAAGGCTGTCTTTGCCATGTAGTGGGTTTTCCACCTGCACACTTCAAGCTGCTTCGGTGGTACAAACAAGGGTGCTCCAGTTATATCTGAGTGCCTTCTTTTGACCTGGAATAAATTCAGATCAACAAAACCTTGGTCAATCTGCAGTGCTTCCTTTTGCCTGGGAGAGGGGAGGTGTTCTCCTTCCCTGCTTCATAACAGCTGTAGATCCCTGTATCCATATTGAGCACATCTTGACTCCACGCTGGAGAGCCATGCTCCCTTTAGGTCGTACGGACTCTGTGTTGGGGTGAATCCGTGCCAGGAGCTCCTGCTGCTGTTTGTTTTGGTGTTGGGATGGCAGCACACGGAACACTGGCTGTGTTTTACCCGTTGTCATGCTTTAGGATCTGGGGAAAAGCCCACCCCACCCTGTGCATCACGACCATGATCAGTGCAGCCCCGTTGTGACCCGTCCTCGTTGCCTTGCAGAGCTGAAGCAGATCACCTGGCTGAGCACTGTGGGGCTGCTGATGGTGATCTTCGGGGACTGCCTGAGGAAAGCAGCCATGCTCACGGCCGGCTCCAACTTCAACCACATTGTGCAGAACGAGAAGTCAGATACTCATACTCTGGTGACCAGCGGGGTCTACGGGTGGTTCCGGCACCCATCCTATGTGGGATGGTTTTACTGGAGTATTGGAACACAGGTACTGTATACAGCACACTCAGATACTCCCGTCTTACAATCTGGGTTTTCCTTCTTAATGCTGCCCCACACCACTAAAGGGATGCAGACCGCTGGTGGTCAGCAGCAGGGGTGATCTGGCTCCCACCAGCACATAGCAGTGATCTCTGGGAGGACCCCATCTCCTTGATTTTATGTGTGGAATATGCAGGGATGGTAAGGCCAGGGTTTGAGGTAGAGCACCATTGAAAGCTCGGGGTGTGATCTTCTGCTTGCCTATAGCTGGTGTCCAGACTTCCCTTGCACCCCAAGGGCCAAAATGCCTCCTGTGAGCGGTGAGGCTCAACTTTACCCCTCCCAAACACCATTCCTATGCTGGACAGCAAAGAAAACTCTATCTAAGAGTCCTGGCCAGAGGGTGAACTGCTCAGTGTGTGGGGACGGGGGCAGCCCTGGTTTCTCTGGTGGTGACAATGGTGCTGTCTGTTGGCAGGTGCTGCTCTGCAACCCCATCTGCGTGGTGGGCTATGCCCTGGCATCCTGGCGCTTCTTCCGGGAGCGGATCGAGGAGGAGGAGATCACCCTCATCCACTTCTTTGGAGAAGAGTACCTGGAGTACAAAAGGAAGGTGCCATCGGGTCTCCCTTTTATTAAAGGAGTCAAAGTGGAGCTGTAATGCGGGTGAAAACCAGCCTGGCAGAGCGGACGCTGGGCTCCAGGCGCCGCGGGGCGAGGGAGGACGCGTGGCACCGGCGCCGGGAGCAGCCTGATGGCAAATGCCGGCTGCCCAGAAGGAGCCGGCGAGGGGCTGCGGGTCAATACATGATCACAAGCTCCTGCGTTCTCCTCGAGATCAGTCCTTTGTTGCACATTCAGGGATCTTCCAGATAACTTAGCCTGTAGCGACCCTAAAGAGAACGGAGCCCTCCTGCCCGCGGAATTGTACTGGAATGCCTCCGGGCGCAGCTCTGCCCTCCCCATGCAGGAAAGGCTCTGGGCAGCAGGTCCTTCCTGCGACATAATCCCGTTTTAAAGCTTCCTGACCTCGCGAGCCGGTGGCACGGCGTTAATCTCTCTAGGCCCCATTCCACAAGCTGTTGCTGGGGTGAGTGCAGGAGCTGGCTCTGGCTCCTCGGGCACAGGGAGCTGCCCTCTGCCTGCTGGGGACCCAGCGCGGCGGCACCGGCCGGTTCCATCCCAGGCGTCGGCGCTCACAGGGAGAGCCCTTCCAAGCACTTCCGAAACGTGGCAGGAGATCGGGTCCTGCTCCCTCCTCCCTCGGCTGCTGCTGCGGATTCGGGAGCCGCTGTTCCCACCGCCTCTGTTCCCTCTTCCCGCTTCCAAATCGCGCTGCTTCCTCTCCTGCCGGGCTGCCGCCATCCTGCAGGGATCCCAGCGTTTTGGGTGGGGAAAGGACGGCGGCTGCTGGGCTTACCCAGGGCTTTAGAGCTCCAGATCCTTGCCTGCTTTTATGGGCCGTAGCTGGGATGTCGGCGCCGGTAGGAGCTGCTTCTAGGGGAATTCTCCAAAGGGGGATAAAGTCTGGCTAGCTAATGCTATTTTAGACGTGACCATTTTGGAAATGGTTCCTACTCGAGCTTTGTGGTATAACTTACCCTGTTGTTATATACCAAAGAGGATCACTGTTTTCTTGAGTTTTATGTTAATTCTTCCTAGCTGGAATGGAAACGAGCTGCTCATCAGTTCATGCTTGGGGCTTGCAGGGTGCCTTGGTGGAGGTTGCTGTGGAATGGCTCAGGAAAGGGGGGTGCTGATGGAAATGGCTTTGGTTTGATTTTGACTTCTTTTTATATAAAAACCAAGAGAAAATGTTGCCAAGCTCTGTCTGGTGGTTATTTGGGGGTCTCTGGAGGGGCCGTGGGCCATCAAACTGGGATCCCTTCCTGGCTTATACCCCAGTGGGTTTGCAGAACACTTTAAGGTGAAGCTCAGGAGCTCAGCAGGCACGGGGACGGTGGCCAAAGCTGCAGGACAAGCTGCAGTAAGAGATCCCCTCCTACCCCTGCTCATTGGGATGCTGTCAGTAGCACTGATGCACAGACCACAGGATTGTTTTGCTCCGGTGCTGGGTGACGGGATGCTTCCAAGCCTGGGCCAAGCTCCTGCCCCTGTCCTGCACCAGGGATTGGGGTTTTTCCCTCCCATGTTTGCATGGCAGCCCCCAGCTGTGCCCGGAGCCGCAGAACCAAGCAGACCCTGTGCTTTGCGCCCTTTTATTTCCCTTGTAACACACAAGAGGGACAGCATCAAGACATTGAAGTCTTCAGACCAAGACAGTCTCCCCAGGGCAGGTTCCTGGTGTGCTGCAGATGCTGTGCCCGGGCTGCGCTTCCCTTGCTCATGGCACAAAGCAGCTCCATGCGCTCAGTGCTGGGCTCTATGGCGCAGGCTCTGTCCGGGCACTGCTTTCCTGCTGGCCCCTGATGCAATCTTTGCTTTTTGGGGAGCCCCCCTCGGCGCTGGCCGGAGCCCCCTCCCTGCTGCCGGGCGAGGGATCCCTGCGGAGGGGAAGGTGCCTCGGCAGGGTCCGGCTGAGAAAGGGATGGGGGGATTCAACACCCAAGCGCTTTCGGTCACCCACCTTGGTGCTGCTTCGCTGTCCTCACACATCTTGAGCAGCATCTGTGCTGTTTCCTCCTTGGGCTCCCGGGGCTCCTGCAGCCTGCATTGGGATGGGTGTGAGCCATGTGTGTGTCCCCCCCAACACCGGCCCCACAATCCCCTCCCCGTGCCCCTCACCTGGGCTCCAGCCGCTCCTTCACCTTGGCGATGGAGCGGACGTAGGGCGCGATCTGCTTGGTGATGGTGGTCAGGCAGTTGTTCTCCTGCCGCAGCTGCAGCAGGTCATGGAGCTGGGCTGGGGCGAGAGGAGCTGCTGTGGCCACGGCCCCAACCCAGAGGGGGCACAAGGGGAGCAGCATCACTGGTACCTTCATAGATCTCCTGCTCGTTGGCCACCCGTTGGTACGTCTCCTCCCAGACCTGGAAGGCAGAGGGAGCCTGGTGGAACGCCGTGGTACAGCCCACAGGGACCCTGCTCCGGGACGCGCCGGCCGTACCTCCTCGAAGACGCTGCGCATCATCTCCACCGCGGAGTAGTGAGCAGCGATCTGCACGTCCATCTGCAGCGACTTCTGCAGGATCTCGCTCATGATCTCCGTCTTGATGAGCGAGTGGTGCTTGGTGAGGTCACGGTGCAGCTCCTGAACCTGGTCCTTCAGGCCCTGGATCTCCGTCTGCAGCATCTGCGGGGCCGGCATCACCCCGACATCACCGGCACCGTCCCGCCCCGTCCCGCCGTGCCCGCCCCGCGCTCCGTACCCGGTAGGTGTTCTCGTAGTTGCGGCAGTGCTCGGCGAAGGGGGTCTCGCGCCCCTCAGCCAGCAGGACCTTGGTGCTGATGTACCGGTGCATCGTCGGCTTCCGCACCAGGGGGCCCGTGGACATCTTATCGCCGTCAGTGGGGCAGCTGGGCACCATGAGGGTCTTGGAGCATTGGCCGCCGGAAAGCCTGCATGGAGAGGGTGCCAGTGGGGTGCTGCACAAGGGCAGCAGCCAGGGCAAGGTGCTGGGGGCTGTGTTACCAGCTCAGCCCATAGCCCCTCGACCCCAGTGTGCCTGGGGACACGGCAGCCCCACACATCCCTCCCCGAGCACACAGGGTCGCCTTGAGCCACCCTAAAGTCAGCTTCCCATGGGCTGCTCTCCCGGTGCCCATGGCTTCAGAGGCATGGCAGAGCTCGGCACGCTCTGGTTTCTAAAGGGAAGGATGCAGCTCTCTCTGTCATCATGGGTATCTCCTGGCCCCTCTCTTCCCCCCATTCCGCAGCCTCCCCATGCTCCCACTGCCCCATCCCTGCTGCCCCACACCACCGCTCCTACCGTGCAGCCCCCAGGAGCTCAGCCACCCCACGGCACCGAGCCCGGCTGGGGGCAAGGAGCGGTCCCCATGGGGTGCCAGCGCCTGTTTGTCCCCTCGGGCCGGTTGTGCCTGGCAGCGCCGGTGCTGCCGTGACATCAACGGGCCTAAATATATCCCGGGCGAGGAACGGGCAGGCGCTTCCCTGGAATTCTGATTAAAAATAGTGGCGGGCACAGAGGCTGCGGCGCCGCGGGAGCAGCTCCGGGGCCCCCCTGCCCGTCCGCCCGCTTCCCAGAAGTGTCACTTGAAGCCCCCACGCCTGTCGTTCATCAGCGCAGCTGCGGTGTCCCCATCGCACCCAGGTCACCGGCTCAAGGGCACGGGGGGCACGCTGCAGGATGCGCTCCCAGCGCCTCACATGTTGGTGCCGGTGATGCCGGGGCCGATGCCGCTGGTGCTGCCCACCATGGAGCGGCGAGGGCTGAGCATCAGCAGCGGCTCCAGGCAGCGGGCGAACTCCGCGCGGTACTCGCTGTTGATCTGGGGGTGAGACGGGGTGAGCGTGGCTGCGGTGCCCATGGGCAGGGGCTCGGCCACGGCAGGGCTCTACCTTGCTGGTCTGCGCCGGCCGCAGGCGATGCGGCAGCTTCACGATCCTCTGCAGCCTCTCCATCAGTTGCTGGAAGGCAGCGGTGTGGTGAGCCCGGCGCTGCCATAGGGTGCTCTGCCCTCCCCGTGGTGATGCCACCACTCACATAGCCCAGGTCCAGGAACTCGGCTTTGTTGGCGGAGCTCAGGAACGCGGAGCAGGTCACCAGATGGACCTGTGCAAAGGGAGGAGTGATCACAGTGATCCATGGGGCAGGGGCCTCCCTGCCCACCCCAGGGCCCTACCTGCAGGGTGGGCAGCAGCGAGGCGAGGTGGGCGAGCTGCTCCTTGAACGCCTTCTCCTTCTCCTCGTGCTGGCTGCAGCAGAGCAGGGCACGGCCCAGCCTTTATGGGGGACCAGGGAGCATCCGGCCCCAGGGCACCCCAACACACGCTGGGGGTGAGGGACACCCCTAGGAACGACGCTCAGCCCATGGCCCCTCACCTCTGCACAGCTTTCAGGAGCGCCTTCTTCCTCTCGGAGAGCTGCTCCTGCAAACAGCACGGACACCCCACGTCCCATGGACACCCCACCATGCCCACGTGCATTGGGCACCCATGGGTGCATGGCCTCGCACCTGCATGCGGCCGAAGAGGGAGTTGATGGCTGCCTCCTCCTCGCTGGCGCTGTTGCGCACCTCCTCGATCATGGCCTTGAGGAGGACGATGGCCTCACGAGTGGAGGTCTGCAGCTCCTTCACAGCCTGGCAGGGGGCAATGGGGTGTCTGTGGCACTGCAGGCAGCACCATGCCCCCCTGTTTCACCCCCCGGATCCATTGCCAGTGCCCACCATCACCGCCTGGTCCAGGCGCTGGCAGCCCTGCATGTATGCTGTCTCGATGTCGATGCAGTGCGCACGGCTCTCCCTGTGGGCACAGGAGTCAGGATATGGACCAGGAAGGGGCACAGGGGTGGCCGTGGGGCCGGGGCTGCTCACCCCTGCATGTCCCTGAAGCAGTTGATGCAGAGCATGGACTTCTTCTCTGTGGAGAACATGATGTAGGGCTCCTCGTGCAGTGCTGCAAGGGATGGGGCCATTGGGCAGGCTGGCACGGCACGGTGCAGCGTGGCACAGCGCGGCGTGGCACTCACGGCACTTCTTGTGGATGTCTTTGGTGCGCTTGGAGAGGGAGACGATCTCGTGGCGAGCAAACATCTTGGCACGATGCGTCTCCTCGCGGCACGGCGCGCACAGGGGCTGCCCGCACGTGTTGCAGAAGTACATGGTGTCCAGCTCCTGTAAGAGGGGATGCTGCTGGCACACACGGCCCCATTGCGAGTCCCCTGTACCCCCCCTGCCCGCCCCGCTGCCCTCACCGCCTTGGTGCAGCGCCGGTCGCAGTTGGCACATTGCACATCCTCCTCACCGTCGGCAGAGCTGTCCACCAGGAACTGCAGGAGCCGGTCCACGGGGGGCAGCCCCGTGCCCCCCCTCACCACTGAGGGGTGCCTGTGGGGATGGGGATTGGGATGGGGACACCTGCGCAGGGCAGGGGCAGCGATGGGGGTCCTGCTGTCCCCCCATGGCAGGGTCCATCCCGTACCCACAGAGGGGGCAGCGCAGGCGGCCGTCACTGGCGCGGCCCCGCAGGCAGCTGGCACAGAAGTTGTGGTAGCAGTCGAGCAGGCAGGGGTGCTGGTAGGGCTCATGGCAGAGCAGGCAGACCAGCGGGTGGCAATTGGCCTTCTCCAGCTCCAAGCAGGTCCCCAGTGGGGAGAAAATGCCTCCGGACATCTGTGGGGCAGAGAGAGGGCCCCGTGTCACCCCCTGAGCCCCACACGGCACCGCGGCAAAGGCAAATCCTTCCCTGCAGGGCCTGTGAGCTGGTGCCTATTTTTAGATTATGAGCTGCATGGCACGAGGCTGCCCCAAACGCGCCCCTTGCCCCAGCACCATGGGTGAGGTGGTCCATGCAGTGGGGTCACCCCAGCATGGGTGACCCCATGTCAGGAGCATGCCCTGCGATGGGGTGTCCCCCAGTGTGGGTGACCCTAGGGTAAGAGCATCCCCTGGGATGGGTGTCCCCTAGGATAGGGTGTCTCCATAACAGAAGCATCCCCTGGGATGGGGTGTCCCCTGCAGTAAGAGCATACCCCGGGATAGTGGGGGGGGGGTGTCCCCCAGGAGGGAGCATCCCCTGCAATGGGGCATCCCCTGCCCTCGTAGCCCAGCCCCGCACACTGGGGAGTCCCTGTCCCAGCACTGGGGCACCGTGGCTGGGCAAAAGCTTTACCTCTCCCTGTCTGCAGCCGGGGGATCGGCCGTGCTGCTGCTCCCCGCGCTCCGGCTGGAATGAGAACGGGGCCGGGGCAGCAGGGCCTCGCCGTCCCCGTGACGTGGGGCCCCTGGCACCGCCACCGCGCCACAGCCCAAAAATAGCCCCTGCGTGCTCCTCGGTGCCTGCGGCAGGGACTGTGAGCGGGGAGCAGGGATGGGGGACACGGGACTGTGCGGCACCAGGGCTGGGGGGACATCGGTACCCACAGGGACATGGGCACCCATGCGGCCTGGTGAGGACTCCAAGCGGGGACGGCGCACTTCGGGGTGGGCAGCACCCGTTGGGGGGTGTTTGGGGCGCAGTTACACGTGCGCCCCACGGGCACTGGGTCACCCCCACCTGCAGCACAGCGCCCTGGGCTGCTCTCATGGGCCGTGCCCGGGGCTCAACGCCCTGGTCCCCGCGGGCTGATGGAGCCCCCCCCTCCCGGTGCACCCCATGCTGCGGTGAGGATCGGGCCCCGCCGGGTTGAGCCCCGCCACCGGAGGCGCGCCGTTTCCAAAGCCCCGCCTCTTATGCGCAAGCCCCGCCCCTTACACACGAGCGACACGCCCATTTCCGTAAGCCCCGCCCCTTCTCCGCGCACGGCGCCCGGCCGCACCCGCTCAGGCAGCACTAGTTGCTGACCGGAGCAGTAGAGCGGCGCGCGTGGGATGGCCCGGAAGCGCCATCGACGGCCTCAGCGCTCGGCTGAGGGGCTCGGCGCGCGGCCCGGCTGCCGGCGCATGCTCTGTGAGCGCCCGCGGGGGTTTCCGCGCGTGCGCGCTGCGCGGCGCTCCCTTTCTGCCCCTGCGCTGCAGCCGCCATGGCGCCTGTGGTGAGTGTCTGCGGCCCCGCGCCCGGCCCCGCGCCCGCCGAGAGCCCTGCTCCGGGCCGTCCCCACCGGCCCCGCGCCACGGGGCAGCGCCTGGAGCTGGGCCTGGGCCTAGGCCTCCGCCGAGCGCCGGCTTGCACCGCGGGGCCCTCCGTTCTCCCCGCTCCGCCATGGCCCGGGCCCGCTGCCACCAGCCCGGAGCGCGGCCCCTTCCCGTTGCCCCTGTCCGGCCCATTCCCGTTGTCCCCAGCCTGGCTCCGAGCTCGGCCCCGTTGATACCAACCGGAGCTCGGCCTCACCCCGTTGCCCCCAGTGTGGCCCCCGGCCCGTTCCCGTTGTCCCTCATCCAGCCCCCGGCCCGTTCCTGTTTCCCCTGCTCTGGGCTTGTGGCCCCCTGGCCCGGCCCCCTGCCCATTCTCATAGTCCTTGGCCCATTCCCCTCTCTGTTCCCCATTGCCTTCTCCCATCCCTCACGGCTCTTTCTTTCCTCCGCTGCAGAAGAAGCCCGCAGCGAAAGGCGGCAAAAAAAAGAAGCAGGTGCTGAAGTTCACACTGGACTGCACCCACCCGGTGGAGGACGGCATCATGGACGCCGCCAACTTTGTGAGTGTGGGGCTCCGCTCCCATCGGTGCGCTGCCAGTGCGGCCCCCCCCAGCTCTCCTTCTGCCCCTTGCCACGGTGCAGCGTAAAAGCCTGTGCCACTGGGAAGCACCCGGCAGAGCAGGGGGGCTGGGGGTTCATGGTTGTGTTTAAACACTTTGTAGTTAAAATGCCAGCGCCTTCCCTACCTGCGGCACCGCAGCGCTGCTTGTCCCTTGTGGGGCCAGTGTTCCGTTACACTGTGGGGAATGGTGAGGCTGTTTCAGCCTGATTTCGTTCAAGCTGTGTCTGGGGTGTCCTTGGAGGATCCGAGCCCAGCTGCTGCTTGGCTGGCTCTCCCCTTGTTAGGCAGGAAACGTGTCCTTGTCCTGCTCATGTGGTGCATTTGGACTTGAGAACCTCATGATTTGAGTGGGGTGGCTGGGTTAGGTGTGGGGGGCACTGACGGGCTCACAGCTTCCTGGCTTGTGGGAAAGCAGCTTTCTTCCACTTCCTCTGGGCATAACGTGGGTCTCTTCCCCAGCTCTAAGAAAAATCTAAAGCTCGGGCATGAGGCAGCAGGGGAGGCCTTGTCTGGTGGGAGCTGGTTGGTCCTGGCTCAGTGCTGTGTGCCTCTTGCAGGAGCAGTTCCTGCAGGAAAGGATCAAGGTGAATGGCAAAGCAGGGAACCTGGGCGGGGGCGTGGTGACCATCGAGAGGAGCAAGAGCAAGATCACGGTCACGTCGGAGGTTCCCTTCTCAAAGAGGTGAGGCGACAGGGCTGCCCCGTGTCCTGCGGCTGCCAGTGTGGAGAGAGGAGCCTGACTAGCAGCAGGGCTTGTAGAGAAGAGGCTTCTTGGTGCAGGAGTCATGCCAGGCCTCCTCGTTAAATGCTCCGTGATGCTCAGTTTGGTCACTGCTCTTTGAGGGGAAGAGACTGGCAGTGGTGCAGTGGAAAGATGAAGTTTGGGGTTCAGGTTGATCTGCAGCCGAGCTCTTCACTCCCGTGTCAGTGCCCTTGCTGGGCTGCTGCCCTCCACCAGCTTCTCATAACTGCCGTTCCTTTGGTTGGCCTTGGCAAATGTGGTTTTTGCCACATCCATGGAGGCGGGGGGAGGCAGCCGGAGCTCTGTAAGCATCCATGTTTCACCCGTTGTTGTTGTTGCTTGTTGGTGCCACGCCTGGCACGTCCTGGCAACCCTCAGCCATGATTCGCCACGATGTGTGGAGCTGGTGGGGTCGGGGTATGGCACTGTGGATCAGCCTATGAGGGCTGAGGCTTTATATGGCAGAGGCATGGTTACCTGTGTTGTTTCCTGGCTGCAGCCTTGCTGTGCCCGATGGGACACGTTGCTCCAGTGGAGGCCCATGGGAGAAGGGATTGGTGTTCCTGAAAGCGGTGGTGGTGGGAAGCACCCCCAAAACCAGCTTCTTTGTGGAGGTGTGGGTGTCACACAGCGGCGTTCACCCATCGTCTCCCTGCAGGTACCTGAAATACCTGACCAAGAAGTACCTGAAGAAGAACAACCTCCGTGACTGGCTGCGCGTGGTGGCCAACAGCAAGGAGAGCTACGAGCTCCGCTATTTCCAGATCAACCAGGACGAGGAAGAGGAGGAGGAGGAGGATTGAGCCTCGTTGTGGCCCTTTTTGTACAGTTACAGCTTGCCTGCAATAAACGGCGGGGAGCGATGTCGCTGCCCGCGATCGGCGGCGGCACCGGCGGCTCATTCCAGGCTCCTCGGGCTGACTCGGGACCGTTCGGGGCTTTTCGGAAACGGGAGGGGCTGGGGGGGGGTGTGGGGGGGCGTGGCCATGGGAGGTGCGTCACGGGGAGGGCGTGGCGCGCCACCGCCATCTTGGCGCGGAGGGGCCGCGGGGCCGGTGCCGCCGCCCGCCATGCGGGGCCCGGCGCCCGGCCGGGAGCTGCCGGAGGACGCGGAGAACGAGGACGATGTCTCGGGTAGGCGGCGGCGGGGTTTGTCCGGTCCTTGCGCTTCCCCCCTCCGGTTTAGCACTGGCATCCCCGCGCCTCCCGAGCGGGCGGTGGTCGCGGCGTGTTCCGCTGCCAGGGCGGCTCCGGCCGCTGCGGCTTCCCCTCGCGGTGATGCGGGTGCTCCGGGGCGCCGGGTCCGGTCCAAAGCCGCTTCTCCGGAGGCACGGAGCTCCTTGTTGGAGCGCCGGGGGCATGGTTTGGAGCTGAGAAAGGGGGCAGAGACGTCTGCGGGCGCCCGCGGGTGTTGCTCATGTGTAAGGGTAGAAATACCCAATAGAAGCATTGGTGTTGGCACTGCAGGCAGCCATGGGTGGCCGGGAATGGGCAGGCTGGGTTTGGAGGTGGTGAGAAGGTGGGAGCACACGTTGGAATAGGCACCTCTGCCCTGGCCAGGTGCCCATGGTGCTCCCTGAGCCTGGAGCCACAGCAGAGCGGTGTGTGACCATGGCCACACCTCCCGTTGCATCCACCTTAATGGGCTTGGAGACCTGAAAGGTAAAAGCCCAGCACTGGGGCAGCTCCTGGGTGTGAGGGTCTCCAGGAGAGGCCGTGGAGCTCCATGCCATGGCCCCAAGCTGCTGTCCCAGTGGGAAGATGAACATGGTGTCCCCATGCGGTCCAGCCGCGTGAGCTGTCCCTTTTGTCCCCAGAAGAAGACGATGGGGTGCTGGAAGGACTGGAGGAGTTCTTTGCAGAAGAGCAAGTCGTGCAGAAGAAAAAGAAACCCAAGAAACTGAAGGATGGCAAAACTGCCAAAACCAAACGGCGGAAGAAGGAGGTAACGCTGCAATGGGGAGATGCCCTGGCTGTGGGCTGGAGGCTGCTCCATGAGCGATGGTACCATCCATCCCTGTGTGTTGAGGCCCTTGGGCACACACTGCAATGGCACCTCCTTGCTGTCACCTCTGGGGATGGACAGTCAATCCTTCTGGCACACCCTGTGCCAATGCAGTGCCTGGGTCTGGTGTTTTGAGGAGGTGGGATGCAAACCACATCACTGAGGGTGCAGCTGAGGCAGGGATTGTTGGCCATCCTCATCCAGGGCGTTTTGCAAGGAAGGCGGTGTTGGGGTTTCTTGGATGTGGAATGGCTGTTGGGTCTTCCATGGGAAAACAAAGCTGAGGCGGTGTGTCCTGGAGGATCCTTCCTGAGGCTGTGCAGGGTTCGCCCTCTGGTTCTAAGGTTGGGATCAATGTGGTCCCAGAGCAGGGCTGGCTGCTGCTCTGCTGAGTTAGTGTTGGGAGGGAGGTCCCTCAGCCCTTTTCCTTCCTTGTGATGCTGAGCTTGGGGAGAAGTCCCTCCTTGCACAAGAAGAGGTGCCCCCACCCTTCCCTTGCCAAAGCAGGGCTCAGCGATGCTGATCTCCAGCCACTCCCCAAGGGACCTGTGGAAACATTGATTGGATGAGGCAGTGCCTTGAGGTGTTTTTGCCACTGTCATTCTGCCTGCGTGGCGTTACCTGCAACCCCTTCCAGGAGTCCTGGCCCCGAGGAAGCTTTTTTCCCTTGGTGGCCATGGTGATGGGCGATGATGTTCTCTTTCTGCAGAGAGCACACAAAGCTGGCTCAGGCCCTCTGCCTCCCTGTGCTGCCTCCATTGTTGGGTGCATTTTTCTATGCTGCTTTTCTGCAAGGGGGGGGTTGGGAATAAAATACCCCCCCCCCATGGTAATTTCCCCTCTGTTCATTTTCTGGCAGTGCCAGCCTGCCTGAGCCCTGCAGCCTGTGCAGCTCGTGCAGAGTCTGACTGCTGCCTTATTGGGGTGGGGAGGAGCCAGCAGGCTGAACATTGAGTGTGCTTTAATTGCCTTTTGTGGGCAGCGTTGACTGACCTTGGCCCTGCCTATGGAGACTGTGCCCTTGTCCAGCAAAGCCAGTGGGAAGCAGTTAGGAGGCACTCAGCAGCACCCAGGCTGCTGTTTGGACAAGGAGATGAAAGGTTGGGGGACCTCGAGTGAGGCTTCCTTTTCCTGAGCGACTCCTCAGGAGGTTTGTGGGGTCAGTGGCCTTGCCCCGCGCTAGAGGAGGGTGGGAGTGAGGTACGAGCTGCGATGCGGTGCCAGTGCCTGCACCACGATGGGCTGGTGCCCTGTGTTCCCATGCGGCGTGGCCACTGGAGCGAGGGGCAGGAGTGGTGTGCGCCGGCGGCAGTGGGACTCGCTGGGTTTGCGGTGACGCTGGCGGGAACCGGTGCTGAAACCCCAGTGAATCCTGTGTGAAGCCGGGGTTTGAACCTCGGCGTGGGGAGATGAGGGAGCGGAGAGGGGGGATTTCAGCCCGTACTGCAGCAGTTACCATGGCAACCAATTACCCTGCCAAATTACAACCGTGCCGAGCCCGGGGCTCGGGCTGTGCCCACGCCGGGGGTGCGGGCGGGCGGCCGGGGCTGTCCGCGGTGCTGAGCGGGCGCTGTCCATGGTCCTGCCCCGGCTCTGTCGCTGTCTGAGCGCGGTCCCTCCTGCCTGCGGGCAGCAGAAGCACCCACCAGGCTTCCAGCATCTTCTCACCTTCCTGCTGGGGCTGCTGTGGCCGAGTCTCACTGGAGACGGGAGATTCCCCATGGCCTCCTTTCAACTTGCTCTGCTTTAGCACCCATTGCCAGCCTCTCTGTGCATCCACCAAAGCTCTTTGGCTCATGTGGCAGCTGGAATCCTCCTGTGGTCACACAGCTCTGCTGCAGCATGGAGTGTCCAGCTGCGAGGGAAAGCAAAACAGCAACAAAGCAAAACCTGAGCACCACATCCGTCTGTGAGCTTAGAGATTGCACGTGAGCAAAGAGACCTTCTCTTCCTGGCCTTCAGTTTCTCACCCTTTCACACTGCACTTGAAGTCTGCAACCTTATTCACATAAAACTATAAGCAAACACAGGACAGGACATTATATGTTACCTGTGCTATATCAATCAGAAGTGTTGCTAAAGTGTTGCCCACCTGACTATTTAGGATCTTTTAGCAGATTTGATTTACTACATCGCTATTTTTAACACACATATCCTCTTCCTTGGCCTGCTCTCCTCTGGTTTTCTGTTCATACGGCCACTGAACAGAGCAGTACTGGGACCCTGTGATATTGCAGTGACTGGGCACTTCCAGAGGAGCATGTTACAGTGTGGAGGCAGAGCTGGCATCCAGCGGCATGGCTGTGACTCAGCATTGCTTTTCTTGTCCCCCTCAGTGAACAAGTCTTGAGGCAAAAGCATAAAGGCTCCATTCCCATATACCTTGGCTTAGATGAGCTTTTCCACAACACAGTTCTATCTGTGTGGCATGACTGTCTCTTCTTGTTCCCAGTGCTTCCTTAAGGCATGGCTTGCCCGGTGTGAGCAGATGTGTTTGTAGTGCTCCCAGTATGGAGAGTGGGAATGTGGCTCTATTTGCAGGTGGGGACCTGGGGCAGAGGATGAGGCTTCACACAATTGCCCTGGAGAAATGGTTCCAGATGATCTAAGGTTTTCCTTCTGCCTGTGTCTCCCATGGGCAGGTGCTTCTTCCTGTTCCCAAATCTGATTTTTGTGCTGGTTTGCCCAGTGTAATGGCGGGGTTATTCAAGGGAGCATTGGCTTTGGCTGGTGACAGCACTTGCTTTGTGCTAGTTGGGGGGGGTGTTGGAAGAGAGTGGAGGGGGGGACAGGGCCTGCTCTTTCTCCAGTGTCACTTTCCTTTTTAGGGGAGCAATGATGAAATGTCAGACAATGAAGAGGAGATTGAGGAGAAATCCGAGAGTGAAGGGAGTGATTATTCCCCCAACAAAAAGAAGAAGAAAAAACTGAAGGACAAGAAGGAGAAAAAGCCAAAACGGAAGAAGAAGGATGAAGAGGAAGATGATGAGGATGGAAGTCTAAAGGTACCTTCCTCCCAGGCTGGTACTGAGTGTGAGACCTCAGGGTGCAGCCGGATCCCTGTGGGTTACCTGGCTCAGAGCCCAGCCATGTTTTCTGTCCAGTCTCCTTGTGCTGGTGGATAAGTTCTCGTGGCATCAAGCATGGCCCTGGTGTGTTTGCCCTGGGTTTGGCAAGTTGTGAAATCCCAGAAACAAATCCCTGCGTGTGACTGACTGGGGAGAGCGTTTGATACACAGCATGTGACAGACCCGGCCTCGTGTCGCTCATCTGCAGAGCTGCAGGCGTTTAGTTAATGATCTTCTCTAAATCTGCAGGAGCCCAAGAGCTCAGCTCAGCTGATGGAAGAATGGGGCCTCGACGACGTAGATTACATCTTCTCAGAAGATGATTACCATACCCTGACTAACTACAAGGCTTTCAGCCAGTTCCTCAGGTAGGGAACCATAGGTCTGGATGGGGCCTCCTGTGTCTCAGCTGAGGCTTGAGTGTTGCTCAGCCAAGCGGGTGAGGTTCTGAGGTCAGCTGTGCACTACAAGCTCCTTGTTGCTTCTCCCCACCTGACTTGGTCCTCAGGGTCCCATTTTAGTTGCAGGTTTGACTGGAAAACAGCTGAAATATTTGTGTCTCCCTCTCTCCAAACCCCTTTTGTTGTGTGTACCTGTTTGAAAAGTTTAATGAGCATCATTAAACCTGAGCATCAGTGATGGATTTGTGTGGGGACAGTGAGCTGTTCAAACCACCACAGGTATTCTGGGGTCTCTGAAGAAGCTGAGGTGTGCCTCCTTTTGTGTATGTGCTGTGATTTCCGCTGCTCCTGGTGGGCCACATCAACATGCTCGATGGACATGCCTGGTTCTTGGGCTGCAGCACCAGCGCACAACA